GGAAGTGGAGCAATAAGAAGCGCGATCACTGAACATCTGGGCGACAATGATCATCCCATCTCTACATCGTCCGCCTTTAAAGTCATCTACAAGGCAAAACGCAATTTGCTCAGATCACTATGTACCTGACTCATCTGTAGTGCTGAAGCCATCTTTGGCTATCGAAACAGAGAAACCAGATCTCTAAATACAGAGAAAGTTCGTTCAATCACTCCCCTCCAACTTTCATCGTCTTAGTCCCTCTATGCTAAAGTATGGTAATTCCTAATTTCTCCAATTTTTTCGTTTTGTCTATTCAATTTGTATACTCTTCCTTTTTTATGTCAACTGTTACTATTTCTTTTTCGACTTAGAATTGTCCCCGGTATTATTTCACACGTTCCACTTGTCATTCTAAATCAATTCTGTTTTACAACATTAATTTCAATGTTATCAAATTTCACACAATGTTACGTAACGTTTTTGGTTTTATTTTATTCGATTTGCCCACTAATCCTATAAATTTCACACCCCTTCCAAGTTCTATGTATCCTATTAATTTTTCTATGCATGACATTATTTTGCTTTGCCACTTGACATTTAACTATGAATATAATCACAAACATTTTAATTTTAATTGCATTTCATACTACTATTATTATTATTATTTTATGTATTCACACGTATGTTTCAATTACCTCACAGGATATAATTTCTAAGGAAAACCACATATATACGATTGTACAGCTTGATAATAAATTCGTTGTTGAAAAGGGTCTCTTCGGTGAATAACTTATTTTTGATTTTCTATGCGTTAAAATGGGAATTTTTGAGTTTTGTTTGTTAGGTGTAAACAAACTCCTGAAAATTATTCTGATGCTCGCTGGTGACTTGCTACAGGACAGAGCTTCCCGGAGTTCTAGTGGGAAGTAGTGACGAGTGAGGTCCATCCAGTCAAGTGTGAGGGTGGAGTTGTAGTACCCCTGTACCAACTATAAACATACGTTTTTAATCTAATTTGCATACTCATATTATATGTTTACACATACCGATTTTCTATGTACTTCGTAAACATTTGTCAATTTACTGTTGAACGTTACCTTGATACTTTTTCGAAATTTGACTACGGCTATAATACACGATTACACTCTTCACAAGTGCCTTCTGATTTTACGTTGTGGGCGTCGAGTAGCCACAACGTCTGCGCACATTGATAAACGTGAAGAAGTACTAAGATATACGTGCATTCTAGTTCAGTCAAATAGAGCAAGCAACAAATTGGTGAGCCCAACGATAACTTGCTGACCTCGACGACAAATTGCTGACTCCGACGACGACTTTTGACCTCGACGCGTTGTTACACTTACTGGATTATTAAAACTCTAACTTTCGCGGATTTATATATTTATTAAACAATTCGAACTCATTTTTGTGTTTGCTCATAGCACAACCTGCAGTAATTTGTGGTAAGCACCTGCATTGCATTTTTTCTGTTTTGCCATATTCTTATTGTGCACAAATTTTGCCATTTTCCTACTCTTAAACCATTTTTTTACGAATTGTAACATGTCTTCCAATACCTCTGATAACTTAGAGCTGGGATCTGTTAGTACTATCTCTCTTACTGTACCAGTTTTTAAGCCCAGAGACCCTCATCTTTGGTTTGCACGACTGGAACATTATTTGGCTAGCAATAAGCTAACGTCACAGACAGCTAAATTCTGCATTTTGAGTACAGTACTACCAGACGAAGTCGCCGAGCAGGTACGGCAATACATCGTTCAACCCAGCACGGAAGCACCTTACGACAAGTTGAAGGAAGAGGTACTGCGATGCACTTCGCTTTCAGATAGGCAAGCACTCGATCGCCTGTTAAGCAATGTTGAGTTAGGGGATAAAACCCCATCGCAACTCATGAGGCATATGCAAAGCCTAGTTGCCGGAAGAGAAATCGACAAACGTCTCTTTTATCAAATCTGGCTGCGACGACTTCCCGCAAACATCCAGCAGGTTCTTGCTTTCGGAGATGACGACATTGACATAGAAAGGCTCACCGAAATCGCGGATCGCATGTACGAGAGGTCAACACCTCAATCTGTCGCTTCCACTAGCAGAATACCAGACACTCATGATAGAATACAGACACTAGAACACAAAGTCGACACCTTACTGAGTCAGTTAGCAAAACTGACTACACGCACACAACCAAGCCGTTCTAGAAGCTCGTCTCGTCGACGTCTTTCTCGATCCCCTAGCACGTCACTACATCGCGATAATATTTGCTGGTATCACCGTAGTTATGGAAGCAAAGCACGACGGTGCCGTTCACCTTGCAATTTTCAGACTAAACCAAAAGATATATCGTCATGTGTAAAAAATACTGTTGGCAACCTACGATCTAACAGTCGTTTGTTTTATGTAACAGATAAAAATACCGGTACTACATTCTTAGTTGACACAGGAGCAGAGGTGAGTGTTCTCCCTCCGTCTACACAGGAACGTCAACATCCTGACCCAGCAGTTACGCTCCAAGCTGTTAATCAGTCCAGTATTGTTACATATGGAACTAAACGAATGACTTTAGATTTTGGTTTAAAGAATACCTACACTTGGTCTTTCATCATTGCAGACGTCCCATCCCCAATCCTTGGTATTGATTTTCTGCAGCAACACAAACTGTTAGTTGATCCGATAAGCCCCAAGCTAATAGATTCGCTTAATAAAACGTACATTGCTGGTACGATTAGCCGTGCATCATCACTGAACTTGATGGTCACACGCACACCAGCATCTCCATATACCAATTTGGTAAATCAGTTTCCTGACCTTTTACAACCTTCTTTTCGAGGAACAGAACCGAAGCATCATGTGGTTCATCATATTAAAACCACTGGACCACCAGTTTTTGCACGCCCACGACGCCTTGACCCATATCGACTTAAAATTGCCAAAACAGAGTTCGATAAAATGCTAGAGCTTGGTATTATTCGACCGTCCAACAGCTCTTGGTCTTCACCGCTTCACATGGTACCCAAAAAGTCTTCTGGTGAAATACGGCCGTGTGGTGATTATCGAGCTTTAAACAAGCAAACCGTACCTGATAGATACCCAATACCACACATCCACGATTTTGCTAGCAACTTACCAAATGTTAAAGTTTTCTCTAAAATCGATCTGGTCCGAGCGTATCATCATATCCCCATCCACCCGGATGACGTTCCGAAAACTGCCATTACCACACCATTCGGTTTATACGAATTCGTACGCATGCCCTTCGGACTGATGAACGCAGCTCAGACATTCCAACGCCTAATTGACCAAGTACTCCGTGGTCTCCCTTTCGTCTACGCATACATCGATGACTTACTAATTGCAAGTGCAGACGAAGCCGAGCATTTGAAACATGTGAAGACAGTGTTTGAAAGACTGAACCAATACGGAATGACTATCAACTTAGACAAATGCGAATTTGGTAAGACCTCCCTGAAATTTCTCGGTCATTTAATCGATAGCCAAGGAATCAGACCAGTCCCTGATGACGTACAAGCTATCAGAGATTATCCATTACCAGATTCTTTTAAGAAATTACGACGATTTTTGGGTCTCGTTAATTTTTACCGGCGTTTTATACCGAACTGTGCCAAAGCTTTACAACCATTAACCGATTGCTTACGTGGACATAGTCGTTCATTCCATTTGCCCGCAGAAGCTGTTAAAGCATTCGAAAATGTCAAACAATTGTTAAATGACAAGACACTTCTAGTCAGACGCCAAAATGACGCCCCCCTGTCTCTCATGACAGACGCTTCAGACGTTGCCATCGGGGCGGTTTTACAACAGCAAGTACACGGCGAATGGCAACCCCTAGCATTCTTTTCGAAACGACTGAATCCTACTCAATGCCGCTATAGCACTTTTGGTAGAGAGTTATTGGCTGTTTATTTAGCAATCAAGCACTTCCGACATATGCTGGAAGGTGCAACTTTTACTGTCTTTACAGACCATAAAGCTCTAACGAAAGCCTTATCAGCAAAACAGGATAACTACTCTCCGCGTGAACTACGACATCTCGAGTTTATATCTCAGTTCACCTCTGATCTGCGACATGTGAAGGGTAAACACAATGAAGTGGCAGACTCTTTATCACGTGTGCACATTGACAACATTGTATGCCCAGACATCGACTACGAACGTCTCTCAAACTTACAACGAGAGGATGCCGAACTAAAGAAGATCATGTCTTCTAAAACAACATCTTTAAAACTAGACGCAATTCCGTTTGGCACGACAAAAATAATCTGCGACACCTCTACAGGTAAATATCGACCCTTCGTTCCAGCAGCTATGAGACATACAGTATTCGAGAAGTTACATAACTTGTCTCATCCAGGTGTCAGCGCTACTATCAAACTAATAAAAGAAAGATTTATATGGCCGAACATTAATAGCGATGTTAAGAAGTGGACACGAAATTGCTTGTCTTGTCAAAGAGTCAAAATCAACCGTCATACCAATGCACCACTTGGTCGCTTTCCTAACCCTGACTCTAGATTTGAACATATACATGTAGACATAGTTGGTCCACTACCTCCTTCCAATGGTTGCAACTACATTCTAACTTGCATCGATAGATTCACTCGTTGGCCTGTAGCAGTTCCAATAGCCGACGTCTCAGCTGAAACGGTAGCTAAAGCTTTGCTCGAAAACTGGATAGCTAATTTTGGTGTCCCATCCATTATCACTACGGACAGAGGTGCTCAGTTTGAAAGTCGACTTTTTCAACAGCTAACTGAATTACTGGGCATCAAACGAATACGAACAACCGCCTACCATCCTAGTTCCAACGGCATGGTTGAACGCCTTCATCGACAACTCAAAGCTGCGCTAGCTGCTTCTTTGACTCAAAACGACTGGTCAACCAAACTCCCACTGGTACTGCTTGGTATACGATCTGCTCTAAAGAAAGATATTGGCTGCTGTGTTTCCGAACTAGTCTATGGAACAACATTACGACTACCAGGAGAATTTTTCACCCCAGGTAACCAAGTTCCACAAGATATGACTGGTTATGTGCAGCAGCTAAAACAACACATGAACGAGCTCAAAATATCACTTCCACGCCAGCAGGAACGAACGTCATACATCCCACCACAACTGACAGATTGCACTCACGTCTTCGTCAGGAGAGAGGGTGTACAACGGCCACTTCAACCCGCTTATGATGGCCCATTCAAAGTTCTAAATAGAAATGATAAAGTTATCACGATAGAACGACTGAATAAAGCAGAAGCCATCAGTGTCGACAGAGTCAAACCAGCATTCATCGACGATTTCGAAGCCAACAATAAAGACCAGCTGAACGACGTGCCAACAGCTACATCCACGCAAGCTTCAACGTCGCCAGAGAAGCCTATGAAAACTACACGCTCTGGTAGGAGAGTTCATTGGCCTAAACGTTATGTACAAATCATCAATATATAACTTATTACGAATTTTCATTTTTATTATCTTTATTCGTAATTGTCATTTAACAACTCATTTAACTGATTAATATTTTCATAAGTAAATCACGTCACTACTATTTTAACATCGATATTCCCTGTATTATTACATTTAATCATATAGCGCTTAATATTCACGTATCGTTTCCGTATACAGACTACAGATCCCCGGCTGATTGTATCATTCCTTATATATTCTACCACGATCATCAATCCTATTTTTTCTTTTATTATCGCATTTATTATCGGCCTTATTGACCGCATTAAATTGCTCATTTTTTCAGCTTAGTAAATCGCTTTCTATGTACTATCGCTGCTACGTATTACGCTGACGCATTTTATTGTCGAACACTTAAATGTATTTTTTTTATATTTCAGTGTTCTGGTGGGGGAATTATGTAGTACCCCTGTACCAACTATAAACATACGTTTTTAATCTAATTTGCATACTCATATTATATGTTTACACATACCGATTTTCTATGTACTTCGTAAACATTTGTCAATTTACTGTTGAACGTTACCTTGATACTTTTTCGAAATTTGACTACGGCTATAATACACGATTACACTCTTCACAAGTGCCTTCTGATTTTACGTTGTGGGCGTCGAGTAGCCACAACGTCTGCGCACATTGATAAACGTGAAGAAGTACTAGGAAATACGTGTACGCTCATTTAGTCAAATAGAACACGCAACAGAGTTCCCACCGATGTCATTTGTTTTTGGTTGTACTAAATGCATCACGAATTGGTAGAAGTTAGAATTCATGGGCTGGCGGCCATTAAGTAGGGTCCCAGTGGCTCAATCGTATACGAGCTAGCTTGCCTGCTTGTAAGCGAAAGGTCCTGGGTTCGAACCCTCTGTGGTGGATGCTTACTGACGATGATTCCCAAACTAATTGGATGGGACAGCTGTCCAGTACTCCCTGGTTTCGTTCTCAATGGTTCTCTAACTGATATCAATCCTTGGTCAAACTCGTATAAACAATGAAAATTTTCCATGAATTAAAAAAGAGTATATTTCTTATCTTGACATAATATTAATCGAATACAAATCATCAACAAGAGTATTTTTACAAAACCTGAGAATAACAAACGAATACAGTGTTAATTTAGAATAATAATAATGAAATGTCACTGTAAACACTACAAAGCATAAGCCAAGACGTTAAAAAGAAATTCAATTTCGCATTCAAATTCAAAAGAATGGTCTTGTAATAAAGAATATAATTAAAACAAGACCTGATATGCCTAATGTAACGCCAATTTCAAAAGTCTGTTCAATTTTACCAGTTTGCTGATATAATTTATGCAGTCCAGTCCAAGCATAGAATGCATCATTCCAACATGTATCTGAATCACAATTTCTTGTGGAATTTAATACTTCATCACTTGGTGAAGAGATTTCAGAGAAGAGAATTACTGTAGTTAAATAAAAATTTTGTGCACTCGGTGAAGTATTTGTATTTCTACACAAGGATGGATAATTAGATGTATCACACATCAATTGCCAATTTTCTTGTGAATATCTAAAATAAAGAATAAGAATAATAAGAAATTGTAATATTTTATGACACGTTTTATCTACACTTTCTCATAAATTTTACAGATAATAATAATGTTTTTACGAATTGATCACGGATTGATATCAGTTAGAGAACCATTGAAAACCAAACCAGCACTGGAGTACTGGACAGCCAGCTGTTTTATCCAACTAGTTTGGGAATCATCTGCAGTACGCACCCACCATGGAGGGTTCGAACGCATGACCTTCAGGTTACAAGCAGGCAAGCTCGTATAGCATTGGTAGAAGTTAGAATTCATTGGCTGGCCACTGAATCGGGTCTCAGTGGCTGAATGGTATACCAGCTTGCCTTGTAACTGGAAAGTCCTTGGTTCGAACCATGGCGGTAGGTGCGTACTGCCTATGATTCCAAAACTAGGATGAAACAGCTGTCCAGTACCCCTGGTTCGGTTTTCGATGGTTGTCCAACTGATACCAATCCGTGATCAACTCTTAAAAACAAATCTAATCCTTACAAACCAACTATAGAAAATTATAATAATGTGTTTTAGTTTTAACTGAGATACATTAAATACCGCCAAATATGAATATATGATTTTCAAATTATAGTGCGTTAAGAAACGTCACCAGTCTGAGAAGTATTGAGAGCCAAAGAGCATCTGACCTCTGATTTACTCCGATGCAAGACTCTTCAGTGATGAGCATCTGTAAATTCATCTTTATATAAGGCCAGGTGCTTGACCATTTTATATACATAGATAACTGAACAATTCTCGAGAGAAGAATTTCAGCATCTTTGAAAGCACCATTCTTCGCAGCAACACTAAGTGTGGTGTTCTCCAGTCGCCTATTGATCTACAGAAGCCTTAAGGACAAGATCTCACATCTGACCACTTCTCTTTGCATATATCAGTTCACCTGCTGCTGTGGACCCGGCCAGGTACATTGGTCGTTCAACGTGTATCTTGTCTAAGAGGGTTCAAGAACACTATCCAGCATGGTTACGAAAAGGTAATAGTGGCTGTTTAAGGAGCGTGATAATCGAACATCTCGTCAACACTGGTCATTCCACCTAAACAAACGCCACTTCCTTCAGAGTGATCTACAAAGTGAAAAACAACCTACTAAAGGCAATATGCTTTCGTATCCTTTGTATTTCTGAAGCCTTAGCCATTCAGTTAGAAGAACAAGAGTTATGTATACAAAAGAAAATCATCCAACCACTTCTACTACCTTGGTAGCAACTATGTTGACTTCTACTGACTTGATGTTTATGTGCTTGTTTTCTGTTTTTTCTAACTCCTTACAACGTTTGTAATTTTCAGAACTCCTACATAATTCCGTATTTTCCTTTGTTTCTATGTGCATCCTAATCACATGTCACTCATTCAACTATTCATCTTATTACGTAACTGTATTAAGCCTACTCAACTTCTTTTATGTGTTAATAAATAAGTTTTTTTTGACAACACATCATTACTGCCATCTTACCAGTCTTCCCCCCCCCCCCCACCCGCAAGTTACAGTTTGATTACCCATAACATTTTTGAAATGTCTTGACAACGATAACCCTAACTTATTTTGACTCATCGGACAAACCTAATTTACACACACACACACACACATACAAAAATAAGTATATATATTTGCGATTGTACAGCTAAGTGAGTGAATTCATCGCTGAGAAGAGACTCTTCATTGAACTTTCATGACGTGTTACATAAAACTCAAGACATGCAATAATTGGAAACGTTTTCATGACTTTAAATAAATGCAATTTGCTACTATCAACACATGTTTATGTCTAATTGAATTTTAGATTTTTTAAAAATTTTCCGGTCGATTGATTGGACCGAAGTGCTCTGTCTCAGGTTGACATGTCGCCTTCTTGTGCAGATGCTTCGACGATGTCTTGAAATGTAATCAGGATCTAATTGGTGGGTGGTGACTAGCATTGGAATCCGGGACAACACGCATTTCTTCCTATTCGGGACTCGTCAGCTAACTGGATGTATTTGCATTCCCCAGTGTGATGATGTTTCCACCGAGAATCGAACCCAGTGCCCATAGTTCCAAACGCCAAAGTGTTATTCACTAGGCCACTTGGGCCACGAGAGCCACCTCTTCTGCAACGGGTCATATTAATTATTTAATTGAAACTATGGGCACTGGGTTCGAGCCTCGGTGTGAACATCTTCACTCACTGGGGAGTGCACGTACATCCGATTAGCTGACGAGTCCCAAACAGGACGAAACGCAGATCCTGGTGGATTCCACTGCTAGTCACCATACACCAGTTACATGTTTATACCCTTCAAAATAAATTGCTGAGTCAAGATAAGAAAAGAGACTGTGCACATACTTCTTTTCTACACAATTTGTAATGCAGAAATCAGTTAAATATACGGACTAATACTCCCTAATTTTCCAATTCCTATGATCCCTTAACGTGTATGCTTCCTTCAGGGGAATATATCGTGCTCAACAGTTGAGTTTTAATGAGAACTGCAAGAAAAGTCCTACGTTTAAATAAATATATGACAAAGGAAAGTAGGGGGAATGCCTTACTCGATTGAAGCAGAAATAATCTGTTTCAGCGGTATTCCTTGTAGTTCTCCTTGAATGGCATAAATTATCTTCAAATATATCGTTGAAGATATATTAGGACAAATACCGATTAGAGAGGAATTTTGCATTTTATTCGATGTTTGTACAGGTGGTTCCTTTCTGAAATAAATAAACATGGAAGACGTCAAAAAAACATATTGAATCATCTATGGTGGTATTCTGCCGTGATAGATTTTTTTTTTCAAATTGTCAAACAGCACAGCATGGCTTGATGCACACACGATTATAATTCTATATTAATTAACAATTAACAGAATGTACAAGGCGTTATTTAGGATTCGAACAACATTTGAACCCATCATTATTATAATCAAAATGACGACTAATTGCAAGTTCACCTAGGTTACGGCGGTCAATCCTACGTTATTGTGTGGTTGTGTGCTAGCACATACAGTGCGATTGCTGAGCATTTATTTAATATTACTTACCTTCGCGGGGCAATCATTCTAACCTTAGCCAAATTCTTCTGTTCTGACAATCTGACTACTCCCGACCTACTAGTTTGACCTATGTAGTTCACTTAACTCACAGTCATTGCAGGGTATTTTGCAAATGATATTATTTTGTCTAATTGAATCCAACGGGTCTTTTATCCTACAGAGCTTATCTCTGAATAAGTCTGTAGGTTTGAATGCTACCCTAATTCCTGCTTTATTGAGAATCCTACGTTGGGCCTCAGATGTCCCCCCCCCTTATATGGTATTACAGTGGATGACTTATATTCTCTCTTATTTATGTTATCATTATTAGTTTCACCATTATTTTTATTTTGCTTTTCCCATCTTCCTAATGAATTTTACGGGATAGTTAGTTGTTTAACACCAACGCCTCTTCTACCTATTTCATTTCATCATTTAGGTTTTTTGTTCTACTAATTAGTGGTATTGCTCGGTTTGTTAAACACTTAACTAAGCCAGCCTTCACAGACAAATAATGGATGAGATGAATTAAAGTCTAATTACCTATTAGCAGAAAGCGTTGGTTTTTTATAAGCGCTAGTGTGCAGTTCACCATCTTCTATTCGTTTCATTTTACAACCTAACATCACAGCTAATTCTCCTTGTTCATTTTCTGATTCAAATGTGAATTTTATTCCCTCTACTAGTGAATTTATATGTGTCAAGAAGCAAGATATATGTTCTCCTTTTAACACTGTGACAGTAACTAATCTTGAGCTTACTCACAGGACAAAGTTATCCATTTGAGGAAATTATTTTAGGAATTCACTTATCTCTCACATCTACTATCTTTAAATTACAGGGCAAAATATATAAGCAAACAGATGGTGTAGCAATGGGATGGATCACCAAAATCCCCTATCGTAGCAGATATATTTATGGACAGCTGGAAAAATATTGCTCTTAATACATTTAACCCTGCTCCGAAAATATTGTGGAGATATGTGGATGACTGACACATTCACAGTGTTAAAAACAGAACATATGTATAGTTTCTTTACACATATATACAGTGCCAAAGTTCCATTCTTATATCACTGCTACTAAAAATTCAAAGATTTAAGTCCTACATCCCCTTCGGTATGCAAGAAATGAGGCTTGATAGAGTCATTTTCACCCTGTAATTTAGAATCGTATGCTTTCTGAGTTACCTTGTATGGATTACCAGAGTTTTTAATGTCTATCTGTTACTGTCAGGTGAATATCAGACTTCAGGATACTCAGAATGTACAAAAGTGGCTGTTTTAATAGAATTCCAGTGGTGCTAGATATAAGTTGTCGCATCATCATCGGGGTAAAACGAAATGTTCCATTAAGCGTTTATTAATGTAAGTGTATAACTTGGGCACAGTGGTACAATGTAATTCCATATTAGATAATTTTATTTCAAATACCACACAATGATGATGCAGTATTAACAACTGAATGAAAAGGTTTCGAGAGGTGCGTCAGCGGCACAGCAGTAGAATGCTCGCCAACTACGCATGTAATCCGTGGTTCGATCCCCTGCCACCAACGCACTCATTTACCTCGCTAAGCGAGTAATAAGACTGGCGAAGCGGGAAGGTTGGACATTAGGCTTGCAACCCAATCTTGTAAAAATAATAAACACCACTGCTACTGAAACTTCAAGCCTCCAGCCTGAAGCCCTATGTTCCACCGGGAACGTAAAGGAATAAAATAAATAATAATGGCGTTTCGAAAACAATTTTCGCTCATAATCATATCAATTTTAGTCACACAGCTTCACAGTTTCTCTTGTATATATTTTTCCTCTCTTTCTTTCTCTCCTCCACTTGTTGTTTGTTGCCTCTTTCTGTATATCCGGTATAAAGGCGTTGCATCTTTCCGATTGCATATGCGCGGCGTTGAATTGATAAACAAAGCTTCAGTGATTAACCTCTTTGTCTCTGCATCGAACTATATTACCTTTTAATACTTTCACCCTGTCCCACCCTATCGTTATGTCATTACATGCAGGTGAATGCAGTGCAATGGTTATTTAACTTAGCAGGATCTAGTTGACCCCGATCCACTAGTTTGACCTATGTTATTGACCTTACAGTCAGCATTACATGGTAAATCATATTATTTTTCTTAATTGGATCGATTGGCTCTTTAAGCCGAAAACGTTTATCTCTGAGAGAGTTCTTTGGTTGGTTTAAATACCACCTCAATTCTAGCCTCAATGAAGTTGGAGAGACAGAATAGAGAGAAAATATATATGTAAGACAAACTGTGAAACCGTGTGACTAAAATTGATATCAATATAAGCAATAAATTGCGCTCGAAAAGTCATCCAGATGTTAATACTGCATCATAAATGTCTGATATTTAAAATAAAATAATCCAATATGGAGTTAAGCGTTTGTTCATGTTTAGAAGCCATCTAAACATTATACCAGACATGAAAGGCTTTGAGATATGAGGTCTGTGCGTCGATGTAGAGGTCATCTCCAGGAGAGAGGGCGAATAAACTAGTGGAGAAATCTAAAAGCTCACTTCAAATTGAAGTAGAATGCGCTGAATATGTTGCCTAGTAGGACAATGAAAACTCCGCAAATAAACCCTCCAGCTCAGAGAACACAACTACATCAAAATCATCCACCTGAGCTACAAATCTTCTCCATCATATCTATAGTGGTGTAATGCTCGCCAACCACGCCCCACGTGGTCCGGGGTTCTATCCCCGGCCACCAACGCACTCCCTTACCTTACTAAGCCCGTAGTGAGACTGGTAAAGAGGGGAGGTTGGGCATGAGGCCGTAAAGATAAACATCACTCCTACCGAAACTTCAAAGCTCTTGCTGAAAGCCCTACGTTCCAATTGAAATGTAAACGAGTAAAGAAATTATATGAGATCATCATTACTAAGGCAGTAAGAAATCTTAAGATGCTATAAAATTTTTTATATCAAACAATCCATACAGCAACATCTTGGTATCAGTCCTAACTATATGCCAACTCTTTATCACTTTATCTTGTTCTCCCCACAATCTTTATTTCATTTCTGATTCCACCAATTTACGAAACTCCAGTCACTTCACATCAACCACGGACACGTGATTTGAGTTCGATTTCCGGCCGATATACTCTTGAACTTCACCTAACCAGTAGTAAGCTTAGTAAAGAGGGAAAGTGAGGCCATCAACCCCCACCCAGTGAAAAAAACAACCACACAATCACTCCTAAAACTTCCATTCGGAAGGCAAATGTGAAGGGGAAAAAAGCGTTAGATCTCTAGTAGACCTGTTCAGTTTCAATCAATACCATGTTCAAAATCTAGCGCATTTAACAAAAAATGCAAAGGTGGTATGAATGTAAGTAGAGTTGAGCTGATGAAACAAGAAAATCAAATAACTAACAAACTCACCTTTGAATAAAAACCCAGTCTTCTGGTAAAGTATTAGATGCTTGTGGATAAACTGCAATTACCTCACTTGGCACGAACTGATTCAATCTAGCAATTATCAGACTTCTGTAAGAGATATTTTAAGGAAAGTAAATTAGGGTAAAACAAAGCCTTCTATTCTTGGTTTGCAACGATTAGTTTTGTTTTTACGAGTTGATCACGGATTGATATCAGTTAGAGAACCATCAAAAACCAGACAATGAGTACTGGGCAGCTGTTTCATCCTATTTCCGGAATCATAAGCAGTACGCACCCACCACGGGGGATTCGAACCCAGGACCTTCAGGTTACAAGGCAAGCTCGTAGACCATTAAGCCATTGAAACACGACTGAACGGCCAGTTAATGAATCCTAACTTCCACCAAGTCGTCATTTTAGCGCAACCTCATTGGTGAGGTCCATCCAGTCAAGTGGCCATTGTAATTGGGTCCCAGTGGCTGAATGGTATACGAGCCAGCTTGACTTGTAACCGGAGGGTTCTGGGTTCGAACCCTGGCAGTGAGTGCGTACTGCCGATGATTCCCAAACTAAGATGAAACAACTGTCCAGTACTCCAGTGCTGGTTTGGTTTTCAATGGTTCTCTAACTGATATCAATCCGTGATCAACCCGTAAAAATAAAGCATATTCATCACTAAAACGATTTTATTACACAGTTGAATGTGGCATATTTTGTTATGGTTGTGTTCTCTGAGCTGGATAGGTGTTTTGATTGAGAAGCTTCATTACTCTGAGCTTCTAGAAAATATTTTCAAGATGGACTTCAATAGAAAGTGAATTTATTTGAAGTGTCAATGCATAATGAGCGAATAATTCAGCGAAGAAAATTCTCTTTTCAACGATTTCATTTTCACAGCTGTACAATCGTATACATAGATGAATTACAATCGACAATAACAATCAGTTTTAGGGTGTGATATAACTGATATAATTACTCAGAAGTGGTTTTAAAAGTAAAAAATAAAAGTTGCAAAATAACGTGATATTCAACGGCACAAAAGAAGAAATGGTTAGAAATTTGAGAATAAGGGTAGTTAAGTGTCAATTTAACAAGTGTCAAGAGGGTGTGAAAATGTACAAAAGGAACATATTAGAGTGATAATAGTGAATCAATTGTTAAAGTAAATTATTATTATTGTTTCCTTTAGTTCTTATAGGAACATAGGGCTTCAGCCGTACGATACCATTGCATTCGGTTCTCTGCCAACGTTTTCACTTGCCTCCACGTCTGCCGACACGCCTTCATCTCCTCTTCACATGACCTTCTCCATGTCACGCCACCCTCGAACTGACGACCAACCCACCACTTCCCATTCGGGTTCCACTCGACGGCCTGTCGTGTGATGTCACTCACTTGATGGTTTGTTTTCTCAAAGTATGGGGAATCCCTCTTCATGTAACCCTACATATTTGTTGCACAGTCGGTTCCTGCTGGGTTGGTTCGCTCCCAGAGATCCCTGTTGGTGATCTTTTCTGGCTGGCCATCTGATCTTGAGCGGTGTATTGAGCGAAGACAGCTGTTGATGAAGGTTTGTAGTTTGTTCGAAGTGCTCTTCGTGATGTGGCGCCAAGTCTCTGATCCGTATAGCAGCACTGACTTCACATGGAAGTTGAAAATCCGGATCCTATTTTCATTTTCATGTTGAGTGCTGTTGATGTCCACACAGACTTGAGAGTAGTGAAAGCTTGTCTTGCTCTCCTAACGATCCTCGCTTTGATATCCTCATCAGTTACGCCTGTAGTTGAAACAATGCTTCCCAGGTAGGTAAAGGAGGTTGTTTCTTTCAGGTTCCTCCCATTTATGCTGGCTGATTGTTGTCTGTTGTTGTTGCTGTTGGTCAGGAATCTTGAAGTCCCATCTTCTCTGGATGATCCTTTTATAGCCAACTTGTTGCTTTTCACTTGCAAATCTTCCAGTTTGTGGGAAATCAGACAAATATCATCGGCGAAATCCAGATCCTCCAAGTATTTTGTGTGGGTTCATTTTATGTCTGTTTTCTCGCTGCCCGCTAACTGTCTGTCGCATTACCTGGTCTACCGCAATCAGGAATATCATTGAAGATATATTAAAGTAAAAGCAAACTAAGAGTAAAATTGAAAATTAAAAAAATAAAATGTTTCACAGGGAACGACTAACGAAGAGGTTAAGACCATGGTAGAATAAGAGACTGGACAAATGTTTTCTGTATACAGAGTTAGGGGTTGTATTGACGAATTGCCAACGCCTCCGCTATACACAAATACCGAAACCTGACGCATTTTGTACCATTTGGTCTCAGCTTGTAGATAATCTTAAAAGACAACTCCGGTGGAGCTACGTGGCTTGAGTTCACCAAGTGCTCAAGAATTGAGCTAGTAATTGTCTTGCATTGTCCTTCTGATAACCATCTTGGTTAATATTCAGAGATAGGTTTGGAAAGTGTGCATTTTGTGAGGCCAATATCACTAATACTGACTTTGTTCTCACTCAATAACAATTTTAACCTTATTTAATTTCTAACCCTTTCTTCTTTTGAGCCGTTGAGTACTACGTAATTTACAACTTTTATTTTTAATTCTAAAGCCACTTCTGAGTAATTATATCAGTTATGTCACCCCCCTATTACTCAACAGTCAGTTTTCTTGTGTGGGTTTGTATGTGTTGAAATTTGATAGTGAGTGGAAATACTAAAGCGTAATAATAATATTGCTGTATATGATTAAGAGTTACAAATTGATTAAATATAGGAATGAGTAACTTAATAAATAAAGGACAACCTAAAGTCCAGTAGACAAGTGTACATAGGACGCTCGTCGAGAAACATCCCGCCGCCACATTCGAGAGCACCCTCCAGTTTGGCTGAGCAAAGCAGAGCGTAAACGTATCAACTCATCGATATTGCAACATATTGTAGATACTGACCACTAAGCAGCATCTGACACATCATGTGATATAGTCTACAAAGTTCGAAAAACTTTGCCGAAAGAGACACGAGAGCATTTGCTATGTTTAGTGAAGGCTTTGGCAATACACAACACATAAAGCCAGAACTTTGTGTACAAAAACAATTTGTACGATCTCTTTCGTTACCATGGTGTTGATTTTATTGTGTAATTCACATAACAATTTTGTTATCTAAACAAAGCAATGAAAAGACGTAATTTGTGTGAATCGTGTTGTAATGTATTTTCACAACGCACATTTCGAACAGTCTGATCACATACACAGACTTGTCATAGGAATATCTGTATGAAATTAATAAAGAGTTAAGAGGTGAGAAATTAAATTTAGGTCAAGTTAAAGGGACATATTGAAGGTCAAAATAACAATGAAAATCACTAAACCAAATAACAGAGGTAATAGTACATCTGCCCTGGCTGGTGGTATCGAAACAAAGTTTACCAAGAAAGGTAGGTTTAGTGTGATGACAAATTGTTGCTTTGATCGCATAAAGGTGGTTTAAACTTTCTAATTGCCAGCCAGAGCTTCCACAAACTTTAGGTTTAAAAGACATGTAAACGTCAATTTTATGTTGTTTCTCTATAATATGTTTCGCAATAGAGGAGCTAGGTCTCCTGTTCTCCCCATTAATAGGTTCTTGGGATCGCATCTGCTTCTGGACCCAGAACCTATTAATGGTGAGAACAGGAGACCTAGCTCCTCTATCGTGAAACGCATTATAGAGATAGGAATTAAATTCGGTGTTTACACGTCTTTTAAACCCATCCATAAAACGTGTTTAGGGTGTATCCGATCATCTATTTCACACTCGTCTATTGAACTTTAGGTTGACATTTATCGATTCAAATTCATAATCCCCATTGAGACATGAAAACAAAGAATTCAGCTATGAAGATGAAATCATCGAAAAAAGAATTTTCTTCGCTGAATTCTCCATTTTTATGTTTCCATGGAGATTATTACTTTAATGATATGATTGTCTCTCCTAATAACTTTGATTGTAATGATCAAGGAGAATAAAAGATGGAGTTTATGCAATACTTTCTATCTGGATTCATTGAAAGATCTGAGAAAAAAGAATCAGTTTTCAGGTTTTAGTTTCTTCCGGGGACTTGAGTGGTTTCAGGTTTGATATCAGTTAGAGAACCAGTGGAAACCAGGAAGTGTTGGACAGCTGCTACTTCTTAGTTCGGCACTTTTATTTCTACGTGTTCCTGACTCAACCGGAAGTCGAACCCAGAGCACTGGTTGACAGTAGCGTTAAGTATCGCAAACTAACAGCCCACTGAATTCCATCCCATTGGCCAAATAGTCAAAAAGCTCACTTTGTAACCTGAATTTCCTGGGTTCGACTCCCGGCGGGGTCATGAATGCATGCTTTCGAAGAGCCCCAGACGAGGAAGAAACAGCTGTTCAATACTCCCTGATTTTCATTGACTGTCTATAAATCCGTAATCCAACTTGAAAAGGATCAGGTTTGAGAACACGATAATTAATGATTAACGACGGTAGAATGGTTCAATGGAATTATGAATACAAACCAACTGGGAATATCCACATTGAACTGTAAATAAGTACAAATTTTAATTCATTACAAAAAAGTTTTCATGCAGTCTGAGTACCACCACAATCTCACCACAATCCATTTTAAAACTTACCTTAATTTTTCACAATTTGCAAAATCATTTAGACCAAGTAGAACACGACAGGAACTGGCTACATTAATCCCAAATTTAAATTGATCTTTCACTGCATTATCACAAAGCATATCGACACCTGAAAACAGAATAATTTATGGATCAATAAAATAGATAATCCACATTGATTATTAACTGTGTAACATAACGAGATTATGTCTAATTGTAAGATTATTATTAACATTATTCTCTTGGGTTCTGAGTGGAACATAGGGCTTTAACAACACATCTCCACTTATTACTATTTCTTGCTGTCCTCTTTAGCTGCCTAGACCCACGACTGTCCATAACTTCCCATCTCCTCCTCCCACGATCCCCTTCATATCAACTCGGGCAATGGCCTGATTGTCTGCAATGTCATTCGACGGCCTCCTCAGCGTGCGCCCAGTCTATCTCCATTTTTTCCTACAGATTTGCTGAAATATAAGTTCTTGTTTAGGTAGTTCCCAGAGTTTTTTGTTGCTCATTCTTGCTGGCCATTTGACCTTCGATGTGGAGCCAGCGAAGATAGTTGTCGATAAATGTTTGCACTAGCATGTTGGAAATCCTTTCCGTGACACGCTGGCCAAGTTTCTGCCCATATAGAAGGACCGACTTCATATTGGTGTTGAAAATGCGAATCTTGTTCCCTATGCTGAGTGCGGAAGATTTCCAAACTGGTTTCAGATTGATGAAGGCGTATCTCGCCTTTCCGATTCTGGCTGACTGGCTTTGAAATCTTCATCTGTTCTGCCTGTAGTTGGAACGATGCTTCCTAGATAAGTGAACGAAGTAACCTCTGTCAAACCTTTGCCGTTGATGGTGATTGTTGCTGCTTGCTGTTGTTTCCGTTGATTGGTTATCTTCATCACCTCCGTCTTCTCTATGTTCACCTGGATTTCTGCAGTTGTAAGATTAATACTTAATTATATAATTATATTTTTTCAATCCTTTCACGTTCCGAGTGGAACATAGGGATTCACAAGCTAGGGCTTTGAAGTTTCATTAGCAGGGGTGTTTATTTTTACCGGGATGGGGTTGATAACCTCACGCCCAACCTTCCCTCCTTACCGGATTTACTGTCAGAGAATTGAGGTGTAGGAGTGCTCGAACCCCGGGCTACGTTTACGTGGTTGGCAAGCGTTCTGTCGCTGAACCACCGACACACCTGAAATCCCTACCTTTACTTCATAAATTCATAAATTTGATCACTGCTCACGACAAGTCGGTCTAACATAAAATATAAAATGATTTCGCCATCATGATTTCGTTCTAGAACTCGTTTCTGTTTCATTAGTACCTTCATATTCTTCAGATATACGCTTTAACGTTGATTAATATTCATAAGTATCAACGAATCAAGCAAGAACCTGTCGCTCAACAAGTGTGCACAAGAAAATAGACATGGATCGAACACACGCTGAGAAGAACATTGAGTTACATTAACCGCCAAACGCTCAGGTGGAAACCGAATAGAGAATGGCGAGGAGGGAGGAGACGAGTTCCTATAGGCGATCGTGAAGCCAACTAAAAGATACTGTACAAAACAGGGTGAAGTGGAGATGCGTTGTTGAGGCTGTATGTTCCACTCAGTCCCACACATGGAATATGTTGTGATTCATGTAATTTTTTGTATTTCACGCGTCACTCTACGTGCGGTTTGAATAATCGTTTGGATCATAGTTCTGTATTTCTTTGAAGAAATCGACGAAAATCCGACTGTGAAGTTTTATTTAACTAATTAAGAGGGGGAGTTACTAGAAATGTCATGAATGGTAAATAATTCATACCTGCTCTCACTGTACCAGACAGAATATTAGTTTCGTTGTCAGTTTGTACAAGAAAACGCTGTGTAGCTGAAGATGTCACTTTGCCAACAACCAAGAGATCGTTCATTTCATAACCTTAATACAAAGTTCGGTAAAAAAACAAAAACCATATTTATACAATAATTTAAGAATAAGAAATTTGAGAATTGAATTTTGTACGATAATTCACTTAAATATGGGAATAACACAACTGTTCTACAAAGAGGTACAAGTTAGCTGTTCTACTGTAATTCGAAACTTCGCGATAAATGTACATTCACGATACAGAGACGATTTGGGCACATGATTGTGACGTTTTATGTTAAGCATGTTACTGTGACCTGTCAGCCTCAGCTAATATTTCCCGGATTCGAACCCCACCTCGCCTACATCAACTTTCATACAGTAAGCAAGCTGATAGCTTAATATCTATTAACTGAGTTTTATCTAAGAAAATGAGTATGTTATCACTCAGGCATTAAGTTATAATTTATTCTTTCCAGTAATTATGAACTGAAATCACAAAAAGATATCTCATTGATAGATTTGAGGTGACTGCAATCTTACTTTCTACAACAAAAATTTCAATTTCATAAGACGCAACTGTCTCTTTTCTGCAAATCAAAGTTTTTCAAGGGTTGACTTACAGGTATTTGGTTGAGTTCAAGTCGCATACATCATAAGCTAACATCATCAGTTAGAGAACCACTGAAAACCAATAAAGTCCACCAAGTTGGTTGTGAGGAGATAAATACTCGACAGTGACATCGTCTAGCAGTGGCACTATGTATTGCGAATCGGCAGGAGTTAAAATTCCCTCGCCAGTCATCGTATTCCGTCTCAGTAGTTGAACGGTCATCCATCCTATTCCGTAACCTGAAGGTAAGTGCTGGTGAAGAGTCCCAGACTAAGACGAAACAGTTGTCCAGTACTCCCTAGTTTCCAATGGTTCTCTAACTGATATCAGCAAATGTGAGTATTTTTACATTGAGTCTCTGCTGATAACTGAGAAAAATTCGGTAATATCAACGTCATTTCTGTCGTCCGTTAAATGCTGAGTTGGATTGCGGATTAGGAGCTTTGCTATTGTATGGATCGGTCACCCGTATAAATAATGAACCGGATAGTTAGACACCACTCATTCTTTCAAAAATGCATCTTTACGATAGTGGAAACACAATTAAAGGGATAAGGGCTTAAATCTGATGGTCAACAGTATTTCACTTTTATAATCCTCGCTTATCATTCACTCATTGCCACGGTTTCAGTTCTTTTGGTGATAAATCTCATACTCCACTCAACCTCCAGCATTAACTACATATTTCTGTATACACGACCCACGCAATCAGAGATGGACCCTCGATTTACGAGGCAAGCTCATCAGTCATTTTATCGGTGGTTTGCAATCCAATGACCCAAGAATTTTAACTTCTGTCAGTAGAAGCGTTTTTGCGCCATTACTAAAGCAGTGTCATCGGTCAGTATTTGTCATCCCACTTCACGCCGTTAACCCCACCTGTAACAACTTTCCATTCGTACTCCACAAAATCTATCCAACATTCAGTTACTAATGAACAGTGGGTTGATTTTCGAGTGTCGGATTTTGGGGATTTGCCGACATTCACCTTGGAATCAATCAAACCAAACGCTTATGGATTCACCATTTGCAGTCGAAAAAAGTTCGAGTTGAAATTTCACTGTAGTTTCGTAAAGTCAATCAGAAATTCCATACTGGCACATCTAGTGGATACGGAGCACCAGATTAACAAAAATTCTATTCAAGATGCTACCCCTCAACTCTCTAGGTTGGTATGTTTTCCGTTGCTAGACACAACTGGAAGGCAAGCATAACTGCATGATGCTGTTTGCTATTGATTGATCATTATGAGTATTTGAATACCACTCACACTAACCAGTAGTGCTCTGCAGTGGTGTGAACACAGAACGGCTCTTTGTGTTGAGTCAGACTGGCTATATCACTGATGAGCTCAGCACTGACTGGCTAACTGGTTTCAATATAGAACCTTACACAGGTTTGCAACAGTTTGGGTTGCCACTCTCCATCAATGTACCACGCAAAGCAACAAAAAAAAGAAAAGCGAGGTTCGAAAGAGAGATAGTAAACAGTGGTGTGAAGGAAAGAGAATAGTAATACGGAAAAACAATAGACTTTGATTGGATATGATAAATCACTAAGATCATAGGGATTATTAAGAAGACAGTTGCAGCGAAGAAAACTTTCTTTACTACGAAATCATCAACTAGATAGAGGTGTACATTCGTGCATATATAATAAATGGGTAGGAAAGTTCCAGAATAATTTCTGGTCAAGGATCAGATTAATAAAATTACAATTAAGAATTAAAATGGAATAATAAACAGGGGGTCAATTCAGGACATTCAGCGCCTTTCGAGAAATCCTTCAAAGTAATATACAAGGTTCGATCAAACTCATCAAAGGCAGCAAAATTAAGACATCTGAGCATAGCCGAGGCACTAGCCATCCAAAAGCTTCCAAAAGAAATACGTCCAACCCTTGTCCCTGCCATGGCCATCATAAATAGGTTATTCTTTTAGTAATGACCATCTCATTATCTTTCTTATCTAAACTTCCTGCTTATTCGTGTTATTTTTAGGTTGCTAAGTTTAGGTTATTTTAGGTTTTCTTAATCCCCATTTACACTAACATATTTTCATATCCAAACTTCCTGTCTAATTTGTCATTTTACTATTTCTAAATATTTAATCCCTGATTGCATAAACAATTATTCATCACATAAGTTATGATCCCATTGGGTTTTTTTTATCCAAAAATCCTGTTTATTTTTGTTATTTCTACATTTCTAACCCCTAATTGCACAACATATCAATCTTCTCAGTAATTATGATGCGACTTTGTTTGAGTTTTATCCGTCCCCCACCCTGTTTATTATGGCATTTTAATTCCTGATTGTAATTTTATTAATCTGACCCTTGACCAGAAATTATTCTGGAAATTTCCTACCCATTTATTATAAATATACGAATGTACAGCTTAGTTGATGACTTTGTCGAAAAGAAAATTTTCTTCGCTGCAACTGTCTTCTTAATAATTCCTATGAGTAAATGCATCTGCGCTGACCATTGAGAACGATTTTGAGCCATATGAACAATTGTCTCCAGCCGTCATCGGTTCTTACCCAATGACTCCATCAATTCAGAAAGTCTACGCCTCTCTACGTGACTGGCTTAAAATGACTGTTAAAGATCTCACTGACTGATCAGGCCATGTATTGATTTGACTACCACTAGCTAACTCTTTTCCAACCTGATTAATCCTGTGTCAGCTAAGAGGCGTAGCACATGGCCTAGCCATTTCAATCTATGTGACTTCATAACCTTGTCTATTGATTTTCTCTCCCACCTACATACCACTCGACCGATACTTCACCTTAAAATTACACATCCTACTAGATCTACAATCCAACACCGGAGACAGAAAGCAGATACTTATGATCACACACTCTATTCGTTCTGAGATTTCGTCAGCGGTCAACCCTCTGGGACTGGCTGATGAAACTTCTCAAATATGTGGTGAGGTAGTCAACACGCTTAGCCACCACTTCAATCCTGCCTATCTTAAAGCTAGGAATGAGTCTACGTAGTATCATCTTATATTTTATAGGAGTGAATCACATACCAAACATTCGAAGATTGCTGCTTGTCAAGGTGTTCAGAAGACTAAGGAGATGGTCTGAATCCTCCTTGATAGAGACCACTGGTTGTCATCACTTCAGATGACAACTCTTCGTAGGCTCTCACATGGCTGCATGAGTTCAAGTAGAGTGAGCGCCCGAATCAGTGTGACGTATTTTCTCGACATTCCCTTCGCAGTCACACATAGCCATAGTACCCCATATGTCAACGGAATCGAATATCGCTTTCAGGTCAAGAAATATGACGACTGTTGGATGCAGGTAAATATGTCTATTTTCGACGCTGAATCTGCGAAACGGTTGTCTGGGGCTTAGGTCACTTAGATCTGGATAGTGTACTTCTAGTTGGTGTGATTACTCACATCAATCAGCCAGGAGTATATAGCATCTTACTTAAAAGACGTCATCGGTGTTCAAAAGATACTCTCCATCTGGATTTTGTAATCTTTCGCTGCTCACTGTCATATTGAAAGTCTGAAAAGTTCACTAAAATTCGAACCAGTACCTTATCATATAAAATTTGCATATAAGATGCCTTTTTAACTCCGGATAAGACACACGTCGCTGAAGCAACTTTGCAAACGTTTTATATATATGAATCGAAATACAAGTCAAGAAACATATTTTCACAATTACTTGTTCACAGTCGCCTATGAAATAACCGGTGTGTATTATATACGTACAATGTATTAGATGGTTGGAGGCAATCGGCAGAAAGCCTTGGAACTAGGTTTCGTGCTAGTTGGCACTCATCATCAAGGCATATCTGCAACCTTAAAGGAACTCATGTCCCTCCTTCTGAGATTCAAACCCGCGTCACCCAGTGCTGCAGTCAGAGACGTTACCAATGAGCTATTCAGGCTCGCCACTGATATCCTGTAGGACTCTATTAGATATTTTTGATTGCACACTAGTCAGTAACTAATGTAATGTGTCTAGTCCTATCTTCGGTGCAGACTGAATTCTATCAGTCATGTTTGCAATGTGGCCACAGTGCACCGTAATGGCGAGCCACCTAGCATGGTGGCCACATTGCAAACATGACTGATAGAATTCAGTCTGCACCGAAGATAGGACTAGACACATTAAACTAGTTACTGACTAGTGTGCAATCAAAAATACGTACAATGTGTCTATTTAAATGTATTCTTATTCTACTCTCCTTTTCATGTTCTAAATGGAACAAAGGAATTCAAGCTTTACGCTTTGAAGCTGCAGTAGCGATGGTGTTATATTTAAAGAGTGAGATGTAAGCTAGCCTCACAACCAACCTTTACTCCCTACCTGACCTACTACTAACTAGTAAATCAGATGAGGTTTAGATCTACGTCAGCCAGAAATCCAGGCCCGACCACTTGAGGCACCAGCCAACTTTCTACTATTACGGAACCACCGATACGTTGTTGAAGTTACACTCTCTACACTGATAAATGCCTTAAAGACAAACCCTTGAAAATTATTCTCATGCTAACTAGTGACTAATTGGCTGCAGAACGAAGTTACCTGGAGTTCTGGTGAGAGGTTGTGACCCCTGGGGTCTGTCTCTCTGTCTGTCTGTTTTCGACACAGGACTCTGCGCCGATGTGCACCAGTTCAAGTCGCCACACTTCACTCAGCAAACAAAGCAAGAGAAGGAAGTTGAAGAAATGCAAAATAGAGACAGTTGACAGCGATATGAGACAAAAGGAATAGTAATAACGAAGAACAATATAATTTCATTGGGTAGGAGTGGATGCATCTGCTCTGAACATTGAGAACGATTTTGAGCCATATCACCGATTGTTTCCAGCCTTCATTGGCTTTTACCGTCCCGAGGACCCCAACCAGTCAGTCAACAAGACTACACCTCCCTACGTGACTGGCTTAAACTAACTGTTGTGGATTTCAGTGACTGATGAAGCCATGTTTTGATTTGACCGCCACGTGCCAGCTCTTTTCCAGTCTGACCCTATGTCAGCTGGCATTGCCTGTTATCGAGGAAATCGATAACTAGGCATACATAACACATGTCCTAACCATCTCAGTCGATGTAGCTTCACAACCTCGTCGATTGATTCCCTATCCTACCTACCTAGCACACGACCGACAGCTAACCTCAGTAATGCTCACCCTATTATACCACTTCACAAGGGGTCTCTCACCCGGTCGAGAGTGAGGACAGATACTCGTTTCCGATGACAGTGACTGATGGTCACGCTAAAAAATCACGAATTGGTATAAGTTAGAATTCATGCGCTGGCCGCCACTGAGTCGGATCCAAGTTTGCCTTATAACCGTAAGGTTCTGGGTTCGAAACACTATAGTGGGTGCGTAATGATGATGAGTCCTAAAGTAGGACGAAACAGTTATACAGTACTCCAGTGCTAGTTTCCAGTAGTTCTCCAAATGATATCAATCCGTGACCAAAATTGAAATGAATCAAATCTCTTCAAACAAACATTTGAAAACTAATCACAATTAATCACTTAACACACAACTCCTTTGCACTTATATTCCTGTGACCTGGTTTTATAGATATAATGTTTTCTTACTTAGAGAGTGAATGAAACCGTGGCATGCAGTAGAAATACGAGATTCCTTAATCGTACAGCCCTACTAAATAGATTGTTCTCATAAATTCATTGAATACTCAGCGACAGTGAAGCAGAATGGATTCAACAAAACGAAAAATATTCAATTCAGACATCTAGAAAAATAAGCAAAGTAATTGAGCAAAGAATATCCTTTTCGACAATTTCATCTTCTGGCTCCACAATTATATGTGAATGTTTATATACATAGAATATTTTAAATTAGTAGTTAATAACAATACTAGTGTTTTTCAAATAATATCGATTTGTTAAGTAAGACCACAGTGGAATTACAGTTCATTAAAAATGCTTAAATTATGATAATAATAAAGATATAATAGCAAATAGAATATCAAATAAAATTAGGGAAATTCCATGAAAATTGAGGATCATTCAAACCTAGATGGCCAAGCGGGTAAGGATAATGTCTGAACTAACTTCTTTTGGACGCACAAATTAGGCTTCTTAATATGGATCTCAACAGCCAGCCTCAGCAATATTTAGTAGTCGAACTCTTCAGGCAAAAGTGAGATTCGTAGGTATGCGGTAAATGACCCTGAAAGCATGGTTGACATCAAAGTTGTGTTCTGTATCCACAAGATGAGATAGAATAGCTCTGCGTATGGATTTTGTTTGTCATTTGCTTAACCACGCAGGGTGATGTTCGGAAATTCGACGAGAAACACGCTTAATTGTACAGCCTATGTAACTGGCTTCACAGCAGCTTCGTGCCCTTGAAATACAAACGCAAACTGATAAAGTGCTTGGTTCACAGAGCAAGAGCAATTTGCTCGGATGAATGTCTTGATGAAGAACTTAATAATATTAAACGGTCGCTGAGTGAAAATGGTTATCGAGAAAAGTTTATTGATAAGAATATGAATTTAAAATCAAGGCAGCTCAAGGTACCAACAGTTCTCCCAAAAGGCCTTATTCTTGCAAATTCAGTTCCTCGGGGACAACATCAGCGAGATACTAACACAGCGCCTTAGAAATGCGGTAAAAAGAGCATTTCCTTCTGCCAAATTAAGCTGTGTCTTAAAAACCACTCCTCTTTTGCGTTCGGGAATAAAAGACAAACTGCCTAATGTCGTCTCTTCCATGTGTATCTACCAATTTAACTGCTCCTGTGGAGTGAGCTAGTCATATAGGCTGTACAATTAAGCGTGTTTCTCGTCGAATTTCCGAACATCACCCTGCATAGTGGTTAAGTAAAGGACAAACAAAATCCATACACAGAGCAAGAATAAGGCCTTTTGGGAGAACTGTTGGTACCTTGAGCTGCCTTGATTTTAAATTCATATTCTTATCAATAAACTTTTCTCGATAACCATTTTCACTCAGCGACCGTTTAATATTATTAAGTTCTTCATCAAGACATTCATCCGAGCAAATTGCTCTTGCTCTGTGAACCAAGCACTTTATCAGTTTGCGTTTGTATTTCAAGGGCACGAAGCTGCTGTGAAGCCAGTTACATAGGCTGTACAATTAAGCGTGTTTCTCGTCGAATTTCCGAACATCACCCTGCGTGGTTAAGCAAATGACAAACAAAATCCATACGCAGAGCTATTCTATCTCATCTTGTGGATACAGAACACAACTTTGATGTCAACCATGCTTTCAGGGTCATTTACCGCATACCTACGAATCTCACTTTTGCCTGAAGAGTTCGACTACTAAATATTGCTGAGGCTGGCTGTTGAGATCCATATTAAGAAGCCTAATTTGTGCGTCCAAAAGAAGTTAGTTCAGACATTATCCTTACCCGCTTGGCCATCTAGGTTTGAATGATCCTCAATTTTCATGGAATTTCCCTAATTTTATTTGACATTCTATTTGCTATTATATCTTTATTATTATCATAATTTAAGCATTTTTAATGAACTGTAATTCCACTGTGGTCTTACTTAACAAATCGATATTATTTGAAAAACACTAGTATTGTTATTAACTACTAATTTAAAATATTCTATGTATATAAACATTCACATATAATTGTGGAGCCAGAAGATGAAATTGTCGAAAAGGATATTCTTTGCTCAATTATTTTGTGTTTTATAAAACGAAAAATATAAAACGCACTAAGAAATAAATTCATCTGGATAAATTCATAAAATTCCTCTACTTACCATACAAATGTGATGGTAATTTTGTACTAACTTCATTGTCTACTTCAGTAGTATGTATAAATTTAACAGAATATTCTTGATAATAAGTAACTTCTGATGTTGTTACAGGTAGGTTAGCTAAATACACTTGAGCTATCGCTTTTACTATGCTCCCGTTAGAATAAACAAATCTGATTGTAAAAGGAAGAAAGAAAGCGAAGATAATTACTGACAAAGCTCTGAATTGTTATCGATCTGTTATATTAAATATGGTGGAATAAAAGGAAAGGATATGTTGTTCACAGTGAGTATTATTATTATTATTATTATAATTCCCTTGGGTTTCGAGTTGAACATAGGCTGGCTTCAACAAGACAACTCCACTTTCTTCTATTTTCTGCAGTCCTCTTCAGCAGCATTCACAATCGCCCATTATCTCTCATCTCCTCCTCGCCACACGATCTCCTCCATATCACTCTCGTAATGACGACCCACTTGTCGCTTCCTATTTGGATTCCACACTGAGTGGCCTAGATAATTATGACTACAAAAACAGGTGATGATCGCTTATCTTTGAGGAGTAAGAAATTCAGTCAAAATAAACGCTTGGAATCCCACAACTCTGAAGGAATTTCAATTTGTAACAGCATTTCTGTTAATCCCAATGTGAACTTTATTTGTGAATACAGTCTTACATATGAATTTGAATAAAGTAAGAACAACAGCATAAAGACATTGTTAACTTTATGTACAGAAACAATATTAACGTACTTACCCAGAGAGTTAGTTTATTTATTATTTATTTAAACGCAGAAAAAAAACTTGGTACAATATGGCACCAAGAAAGATGCGCCACACAATAATAATAATACAACATAGATTAAAAGTAAAAATATAGGTAGAGAACGGATAAAGAACTTCACCTGGAAGGAAAACAGTCATGTTTAACAAGTTCAAACAGTATTCGTTAACTATCATCAGGAAGGGAAGAAAGAAGGAAATCGCAACACATTCGCCATTGATTACGATTCTTGGCCATATCCGATAACGTTTCGAGCCATCGGTTTGAGCTATCTCTCAGACCCCAACCAGGGAGTCGTGACACACCAACCGATGCTAATCTAGCACAGAAATCCTTCATCCCACGACGCCACGTCATGGGCTGACCACCTCTCCGCCTTTTCCATCCCGTCCCAGGGCTGGATAGCGAAAAGAGACGTGTACGGAAGCCTCTGGGATGACATTCGCAGCACATGTCCAAGCCACCGGAGCCGGTGTTCCCAGATGACGACACTCAATGATCTCCACTGTGTTCAAACACACGCCGCTGAACCTCAGAATTACTCATGCGATGATGCTATCGAGCGCAAGCAATCCTGCGGAGACAGCGATGATCAAACACGCAGAGTCGCCGCACACCTCAGCTCGGAGAGGCCAGGTTTCATAGGCGTAGAGCAAGACCTCCCGCACCGAAGCATGGTATACCCGACCTTTGACAGCCAGGCTAACGTCGTGATGGCGCCAGAGGTGGCTCAGGTTGATGTATGCCACCCTAGCCTCCATTATACGGTTGGAAATCTCATCCGTTATCCCTTCGCCAGCACTCACACAACTACCCAGATACACAAACTTATCAACAACTTCAAGCGGTTCACCCGCAAGAGTGAGTACAGGTACAGTTAGAGTTAAAACAAAGAAATCAACGTATGCATACAATGCTAATAATAATAACTATATATATATATATTCATGTCGAAATTGGAGAAACAAATGCAAGGTGTGCTTGGCGAGATTATGCTATATAAACGTAAGTTGAATAACACACTTATTACTGGTAATAATAGTAGGTGTATTGAAAACTGTATTAATCTATTTAATCATATTCATCCAAATACCTGAGTGACTTCCGAACTCGAATGGAATGACAAACTCGGTTCCCTGGATATTACAATGACCAGGAGAGATGATGGAACGATTCAGCGATCTATTTTTCGTAAACAGACATGGAGTGGACAACATCTTCATTTCACCAATTTTTGTTCCTATCCAGTATAAACGTTCCTTAGTGAAAGACTGTTTCACAATTATTTCACCACATAACTCTAATTCAAGGTTGGTTATTGAAGGTGATGGAAGCACTTTGGGGGTTAATCACATACAGCCTAAACTGTGTGTACAAAAATCAATAGACTTCAATCTTCGCCTACCATGGGCTACATGACCTATCTAAATATGATGGGTCATTAGTATGTACTTTTGTTTTTTCATAACTGAGTAATTGTCATGAACTTTATTTTATTAATGTTAACCATTTTATTTGTAAAGTGGTTGTAAAGAAACTACGAAATGATATCATCTCGCGAAATTTGTCTTCGTAATGCCTTATTCAAATTTATCAAAGGGACTAATTATTTTAATAATAATGATAATCGCTTTATTCCAAACAAGAATAGAAGATGTGAATGCTCAAATGACAAACAAATCACAAAAAGGAAAAAGCCTATCTTCATTCAACTCAAATTCAAGGATGAAAATATTACGAGAATAAGAAAAAGGCACAAACAGCGAAGAAAATTTTCTTTTCGACGATTCATTTTCATGAGCTGTACAATCGTAATTATAATTAACAAATAAATACTTTAGACCAATCAGATACTGGTAAATTTTGTCCTTGGAAAATTGTATTACATAATGTAAGGTGTAAGAAGGGATGACTAATTGTAAGTTAGAAAGGAGACAGAAGTTGGCATGACGTAATAAGTGTGAGATAGTGAATAATCAATAATCTCGTGTAAAATGGTCTAAAGTATTTCTTTGTTAATTATAATTACGATTGTACAGCTCATGAAAATGAATCGTCGAAAAGAAAATTTTCTTCGCTGTTTGTGCCTTTTTCTTATGACTCAATATGGGAATATTTCGTTTATTACGAGAATAGTCGACACTAGATTGAATACGTCACTGACCACAAAGATTCTTGTGCCCAAGTCGGTTCCCCATTTATCCTTAAACATGCCGTATTTGGTGCAATCGAAATTCGATAGGCACCCGTCTCATCTTAACTCCAACTGTGTATACAAATTTACACGTTTCTGCGGTAGCAGTTACACTGGGAGAACAGAAAGAAGGGCACACCTCCGATTCTCTGGACATGTACTCAATAGTCCACGTTTCAAGGGAACAAACGCATTGATTATCGTCATCGCCAGGCATCTCCTCGAAACACGGCTGGTGAGGTGGCTGGTATCGCAAAATCATTCAAAACTGCTCAGAGTTCTACCAAAACTTTATGAATTCATTGAATCCTGCTTTATCAACACCTTTGTTGCTTGTTTTAAATATAGGCAACGATTTATTCAGCTTGGAAAAATAATTAGAATTTAAGCGAATATCTCATATCTTAATAAAGAGCTGTGCATTATACTCACTTATAAGACGTTTAAACAAAAAGCATAGAGGGATTAACAGTCTCATAACAGCTACAATGAGTCGGTAGCACAGAGGTAGAATACTGGCTGACGAGGCATATGGTCCAGAGTTCCATTCCCAGGCAACGCGCTCGTTTACCTCACTAAGTCGGTAGTAAAGTCGGCAAAGAGGAAAGCTTGGGCATGAGGCTAGCAAATCCATCCCGTAAAAGCAATAAAAACCACTAATACGGAAACTTTAAGCCCCGTCTTCCACTGGGAATGTACTTTCCTTGACTATACATCTGCTTTCGACCCTGTACCTAGAGGCCTATTGTTAAACAAGCTTAGCCTTACACAAACTGAGCCCTGGGCTATCAACTGGCTACACTCTTACTTCTCTAATACGATGCAGTACACGGTATATAATGGTGTATCTTCCTCTCCTTTGCTTACTGAAGCTGGAGTTCCTCAGGGTGCTTTTCTTTCTCCGTTTCTCTTTTCCTTCTTCTTACATGATTTACCTCTCTAAGATGAAATCAACTTCGTCAAATATGCAGATGACCTGTCTGTATCGTTTCCCATTAAGTCTCAGTCAGACTGTTTCAAATTAAATAGCTTCCTGTCGGAAATCAGTCAGTGGTCTAAACTAAATGGCCCCATGCTGAATCCCTCAAAATACCAGACTATTGACTTCTCCCTTAGGCATAAACGAGATCTACAAACACTAGTAAGTACTCATGAAGACTGTTGCATTGAGGGGACTAAAATTGAAACTAAGTCTAATGCAAAATACCTCGGTCCAGTTCTATCTTCCGACCTTACTTGGACATCTCATATCCTAATGATTTCTAAGAAAGTGTTCTGTCTTACCTACTACATTAAGAAATTTAGACAATCTGGAATCACCCAACCTCTACTTTCACAATTTGTCAACTCTTGTATCTTACCTATTCTACTTTACTGCTCCCCGTTAGTCTTTCCTGGTCTACTGAAAAAGGACTATGCCATCCTGAGAAGGATGTTGAAGGTAGTCAGTGGGACTAGTGGCGTAAAACTCAGTCAGCTCGTCACTACTTTAGTTGATAGGCATCTGAATAAATGCGAAAAATGGTCTAAAACCATACTCTGTGACCCCTAACACCCCCTCCATTCCCAACTCTCACCTTGTATTTCATCAAGTAAAACCAGAAATCAGTATAAAATAATCTTTGCTCGTACAACCAAATACAGGAACCCAACGATACCATACTTGACCCGTGTTCTAAGCGACAGTGACAATGTTAAGCGTGAAACCTATGACTTGCTTTGTTGTTAATAACATAATTTTAGGCTCTTTTATTTCTCTCTTATTTTGTATTCTATAGTGAACTCCTTCTCAAACATACTTAGCTACCTTAATTATTAACATTGGCGTCCTTTTTTTTGTACTTTACTATATTCCTTCTATTGTGTATCCACTGGTTCCGACTCTATTAGCACTATGAGTATTACAAAATTGTCCTGTCATTAACCATCATGTAATTATTAGTTTTGCGTTTTTTTTTATTTTCTATACTTTTCGGCAATATTAAACTGACAATCATTGGTTGTGAACGCCATAGTCACCACCATAAAAAATTTTGTATTATTCAGGATTACTCACACTACCACTACAAACACTGCATTAGACCTGACAATAAAAAACAAAACAACAACCCTGAAATGTTATTTTATGATTGTTTACAGTTGTTTCAACCAAATCAACTGACCATCCTGGCGATAAACATTCTTAAATATCATTTTATAACTTCTTGTATGACTATAGCTTTACTGTCACCATGCATAATCATATCATAGCTTCCACTACCCAATACTGAGTTATTATTATATGATGTTTATTTTCCTTTCTACTTCTTGGTATTTTTTCGCATTTACAATTATTTTTGTGTTTATCCTGTTTTTCCTGTTTGTTTTTTTGCTTTTTTGCTGCTGGTGTCTTTAGATTTATTATTTTTTTGTTAAATACTCCTTTTAAACGTTTAATAAAATTAGATGCAAATATTGTAGATATGTGCTGAAAATTCCACACCGTACCACTAGTACTGTTTCTGGAATAAAGCGAATTATTATTATTATCATTAATAAAATCACCTGCAATTAGGCGCTTACTTAAATAATACACAACAATGTACTTACTTATAATCCACTTTTAATACAACATTATTACATATATTATTTGCATAGGTGACATCCGGTGGAAAAGTGAAACTGTTATGCCAATTACAAACACTTGGTGTTAAACTGGTTGTTGTTGTTGTTGTACTGATAGTTTTCAATGGAATACACGTGGTCAACTTGGTGATTTCATTATAGGTACAGTTATGATTGAAAAAACCAGTCTGGTCTACGCTGACAGTTGACTAATTCATATCGGGCAGCAGCAAACAGAAGAGATTTATTTCATAGATAAGAAGGAAAGAAAACGGTTTATTAGCATATTGATTAATAAGTTTAAAAATGATATAAGTATAAAACTTGGGCACTGTGGTGGTAGAGTATAACTCCATTATGTGGATAAGATTTTATTTTGATAAATCACACAGTGTTGTTATACAGTAAGTAATATTTACTGATGATCACGTTTCGAGCACAAATTATCATTGCCACTAATACTCATAAAAAGGCACTATTCATACAACTTTCTTGCTTCATTTATATACATGAGTAAACATTGATGAATAGACATTTGAATAAAAATCAATACAGGATAGTGAGTGGTATAGGTGAACTATTCTCTAGATTTCTTATCTTATTCGGGTCAATTAATCTAGATTTTGCTGCTAGGTTTTATGCTCGGTTAGTCTGACTGCCCCTGTTCTACTAGTTTGACCTATGTATTTGACCTGACAATCATTGCAGGGTATCAGGGAAAATATACAAACAAACTAAGGGAGTTGCATGAGATCACCAATATCCCCGGTTGTAGCAGATATATTCATGGTTAGGTGGGAAAACATACCGATTCAAACGTTCACCCCCCCCCCCCACCCCAGAAGTATGGTGGAGGTATGTAGATGACACATAAATTCACTGCACTTAGAACACAGGATATAAATAGATTTTTTGAACACATTAACTCGAAGGTTAAAGCAATTCAATTCACTTATGCATTGGAAAATTAGAAAGGGGAACTCCCAGTGGTAGATTGCAACGTAAAGAGGAAAGATGGGAAGTTAAACACTAGTGTTTACAGGAAACCCACACACTCAAACAGATATTTGGACTTCCGATCATTCCATCCTATGTCAGTAAAAATAGGATTGGTGAAATGTTTAAGTGACAGAGCACAAAAACTAAGTAGTACCAAGGAAAATCTAAGACAGGAAGTGAGACATATAAGAGAAGCCTTGAAACTTAATAATTACCCTGATAAATTAGTCAAGAAATACGTAGGGAAATGAAAAATTAAATAAATAATGATAGCAGTGATGGTGATGATGATAATAATAATAATAATGATAATAGTAATATTAATGACAACATGCATGTCAATCATGCGCAAGACAACACCAACAATAAGAAATCTAAATCATCAGTTGTAATTCCATACAAGGAAGGAACCTTGGAAACCACCTTTCGCAGAATTCTTAACAAGGCAGGAATAAAAGTGGCTGGCATTCAAACCCACAAACTCAATTAGAAACAAGCTTTGTCGGATGAAAGTTTTAAAACCTAATGTAACAGCTGGGTGGAGGGAGATATTGATAGCAGAAGCTTTATTTATCGAATCAACTGCGATAGAATACGTATAATAGGAATGATTCAACACCTGTCCACCCAGACATCTGGAAAATTCTACTACCCCTACGACAAATAGGAGAGGACAAAGAAAACTATAAAACTCAAGTTTCGAAGTCGTGTGATTATAATTGATGAGATGATTATGAACCACAATAACTTTTGTTCGAAACTGTGTCATCTAGTAAACAATACTGTTTCACTCACTGTGTGATACATCTAATGAATAAACTAATATGGAATTACTTACTACCACAATGCCTAAATTTTACACATATCTAATCATCAAATTTTACTTATGTATATAAATGAAGGAAAAAAGTTGTGTGAGTGACTTGATATGGTTATGAGCAATAGTTTGTGCTCGAAACGTCATCAGTTAATATTACTGTATAACACACTGTTTGATATATTATTATTATTATTGTTCCCTTGGGTTCCTAATGGAACATAGGGCTTCAGCTACACATCTCCACTTGCTTCTGTCTTCTGCTGTACTTTTCACTTGCATCCATGTTAATCCATACTGTTTCAGTTCCTCATCACACGATCTCCTCCATGTCACCCTTGGACGTCCCACTCGCCGCTTTCCTTTCGGGTTCCACTCGAGCATTGGCCTGACGCGCGATGTCACCCAACGGCCTCCTCAGCGAGTGTCCAATCCATCTCCACTTTCTTCTGCATATTTGTTGGGCGATTGGTTCCTGTTTTGTTTGTTCCCATAGCTTCCTGTTTGTGATTCTTTCCGGCCATCTAATCTCCAGTATAGAACGAAGACAGTTGTTGATAAAGGTTTGCAACCTGTTGAAAATATTCTTGGTGACCCGCCAAGTTTCTGATCCGTATAGAAGAAATGACTGACTTGACGTTTGTATTGAAAATCCGAATTTTGTTGTTGATGCTGAGTGACGAAGATTGTGTGATATATCGCAAAAGTTTAAAAAAGGAAATAGTAATTGCATAAAAGTCGTTTTAACAACAGTGTTCAATCTTTGTCTAGTTATCGAGCTGCTATGATGCCTCATTTAGGGTAGCTAGATGTACACGTCTTTCTTAAGGGATGAGTTGGAGAGTGGGTCTCGGTGTTCTGACTACTTGATATCTCCTGATGAACTTGTCTGGATAATTGTTATCAACCAGAGTTTGTGTCAACTTGCTTTCTTCCTGCCTGGACAGGAAGTTTCTGCCCTATTCGGTATAAAAGAGCCTTAGTAAGGTGCCTCTTCTCAGTAGAATCCAAAGAATATACACTGAAGGCACACTTGGTGAAGAAGACAGAAAACTGACACAAACTCTGGTGGTAACAATTATCCAGACAAGTTCATCAGGAAATAATAACGTTGAAGTAGCCTAAATGTTAAGTTTATATGAAATCATGGATGAATGTGATCTGGACTTCGCCAATGATATATGTCTGATTTCCTACAAACTGGAAGATATGCAGATGAAAAGCAACAAGTTGGCGATAGAAGAAGCATCCAGAGAAGATAGGACTGTAGGCGAACATAGAGAAAACAGAAGTGATGAAGATTCCTGGGCAACACCATCAACAGCAACAACAACAGCAGACAACAATCAGCCAGCATCAATGGGAGGAACCTGAAAGAAACAACCTCCTTCACCTACCTACCTGGGAAGCATCGTTTCAAATACAGGCGGAACTGAAGAGGATATCAAAGCAAGAATCGGAAAAGCAAGAACAAGCTTTCACTACTCTCAAGTCTGTGTGGAGGTCAACAGCACTCAGTATCAAAAATAAGATCCAGCATTTCAACTCCAGTGTGAAGTCAGTGCTACTATACGGATCAGAGACTTGGCGCATCATAAAGAGCATCTCAAACAAACTACAGACCTTCATTAACAGTTGTCTTCGCTCAATACTCAAGATCAGATGGCCAGAAAAGATCAGCAACAAGGATCTCTGGGAGCAAACCAATCAGGAACCGATTGTGCAACAAATATGCAGGAAGAAATGGAAGTGGATTGGCCATACTCTGAGGACACCATCAAGTGACATCACTAGACAAGCCATTGCTCGAGTGGAACCCGAAAGGGAAGCAGCGAGTTGGTCGTCCAAGGGTGATATGGAGGAGGTCATGTGAAGAGGAGATGAAAGCATGTGGACAGACTTGGAGCCAGGTGAAAACTTTAGCAGAGAACCGAACGCAATGGAGACGTGCAACTGAAGCCCTATGTTCCTCTAGGAATTAAAGGAAACAATAATAATAATAATAACAATAATAATGGATGAATGTATTAAATAGCAACCTCAAATCCAATGCGAGTGAGTATTGAATATAGGTTAACCCAACCTAAATTAATTAGCCCAAGCAGTTGAATTACCCCTGGTTTTTGTTGGTTCTGTAACTGGTATCTATATCCGTGGTCAAGCTTGAAACAAATCCAGTCCCAACAAACAAACTCATGAAACTGGGATACATTTATTGCCCTTTATGAATGTGAATAAAGCAAGAACAACAGTGGTTTGTACAAAACTAATATGGTACCATCAGTGCTTATTTCATTGGTTTTTCATCAACTCGGCTTACAGTCTGGAGATATTAGTAACTTTATGTATAGAAACAATATTAACGTACTTACCTAGACAGTTCGAGTTTAAACAAAAAATCAACGTCAGCATACACTGACAATAATAATAATAACAATAACTCTATTCCAAACAGTCAAATAAAGGAGAGAATAACGATTTACAGTTACCATGGCAAGAAAAGACTGATAACTGCCTCTTTCTTAACTCATAAATCGTCTTTTAGCCATTTGATGGAGATTGCTTCGTCAAACTTGACAGGAACTGAGCTATTTTCCACCTCATCACGCATGTATCAAACAGATGCCCGGCAAAGACACTTTTGAAACGATTTGTTCCCTTGAGATGTAGAAATTTTGGTATATGTATAGAAAATCGGAGGTGTGCAGTCCTTTCTGTTATCCCAATGTAACTGCTCCCACAGATACATGCGAATTTGTATACACGATCGGAGTAAACATGAGAAGGGTATCTGTTGGCTTTCGATTGCAACAAATAGGGCATGTTGTTCGATAAATGGGGAACCAACTTGGTCACTTGTAGTTAATGACGTATTCAATCTTGTGTTTACTATTCCTGCAATATTATCAGTCTTGAAATCGAGTCGAATAAAGACAGGCTTTTTCCTTTCTGTGATTTGTTTGTCATTTGAGCCTTCACATTTTTTGAAGAATCAGAATTTCTTCCTCTAATTTATCTTCATAGTCTGACTATACAGAACAGAGTTTTGACTAGTGCTCGTTTATAGCTATTTGGACAAAAACTATTAAAATGCAACTATTGTTCACTGCATGTCGGCTCTCGGTAAATTGAACTGTAGAGACTACCATCTTCTAGGCGTTGCATGGCAATGCTGAGGAAATGGAACTTCCCTTCATTTTCATGTCCCATAGTGAATTAAGTATTTTTATATGTGAGTCGTTGTTATTATTTATTTATTTTATTTAAAACACAAAACCCGGTACATTATGGCACCAGGAAGATGCTTCGCGCCACTAATATTAAAATAAAATATGAGAAATTAAAACAGGTAGAGAATGAACAAGGGACTTCATCTGGGAAGAAGGTAGTTATATTCCACAAGACCAAACAGCATTCACCGAATTATTTTTCAGAAAAGCCAGCGAACGTGCTGCAGTTTCGTAAAAAATTATATTTGTAAAATCTCAGCGAGATTGAAATGAGTAATTTCAACGTTTCGTTCGGACCAGATTGTCGAACAAAACGTTGGAATTACTCATTTCAATCTCGCTGAGATTTTACGAATATAATTTTTTACAAATGTCTACTTCTCACTCGGCGCCCAAATATTTTAGGTCTATTCTGTCAAATCTTGACGACATTTCATTTGCTGCAGTTTCCTTGTACATAAACTTAATAATATCTTAAGGCTGTAAGCAGCTGAGCTAATGAGAAGCCAACGTAAAAAGCAATGGTGGTACCCTTTTTTATTCTGCACAAACCACTGTTGTTCTTGTTTTATTCAAACTCATGACAGTTGAATAATGATTGTTTCTCGTCGGATTTCCGAATATCATTCTGCGCAGTGGTTAAGTAAAGGACAAACAAAATCCATTCATAGCGCTATTTTATCTCATCTCCTGTATACATAACACTAGACTAATGTCAACGAGGTAGCTTTCAAAGTCATTTACCGCATACCAACAAATCTTAACGTCGTCTTAATTGTTCGTCTACTACATATTGCTGAGGCTGGCTGTTGGGATCTACATTAAGAAACCTAACTTATGTACTCAAAAGAAGTTGGTTCAGACGTTTTTCCTTACCTTGGTCATCTAGGTTTGAATGACCTTCAATCATATTTATGAAAATCTCATACACGATGACAATTCAGTTGCATTAATAGCCATTTCAATAACAATAAGCAATAAAAACTAATTACTATTCTAATTTTTTTCAAAAAAAAATAGATAATCCACAAGACTATTAATATTTTAAGCCTCTCTGGGTTTGTCAAGATTTCGATTCGTTTCAGTGTAAACTTCATCCGGAACTGAATCAGGACCATCAAAAAACAACGAGTAGTGGACACCTGTTTCGATCTGGATTGGGATTCTTCATCAGTACACATCCATGATCCTACCATAGATCGCACCCAGGACCTTCACATTATGAGACAAGCCGCACTAGTGTCACTGATAATACATCACCAATTTGTACGGAAGATTACAGGCATGAAAATGAATTATACCTTTACAACTTTCCAGAGTTTATATAACCGTAATGGTAGCTACTACATATCGCAATGAAATAACGATCTGTACCGGCGGACACAAATTTTCCTGCATGTTCTACCATGTCACAAACGTTGAATGAATAACGACTACATTAAGAGCAGTTATCATAATAATAATAATAATTTGCTTCATTCCAAAACAGTACAGGTGATAAAGAATGGAATTCTCAGCATTTTTACTACAGTATTGTATCCAGTTAGTACATTATCAATAAATAGAATTCTACATAGATTAAGGAAATCTCAGTTCATTATAACAACAACATATTGGCATGTCGGTAGCAAAGCCAAAGTTGAACAGTGTTTGAAGGTGTTATAAAAGTAGGACCTGTCATGTTTACTGGCGTAAGCGAGAGAAAGAAACAAAGCAGCACATAACGGAAAAAGAAGAGTGAGAAAAGGAAAAGAAAAAAAGAAAATGTTGTACCTATAAATGATATGAATTGGAAACACGAGATCCAGTTGTACTACTGACTATTTAATGAATTATAGGTGTCACGTCTAATGCTTTCTTTATCACACAGAACACGAGCTAAGTAGGGTATGGTTGAGTTTTTGTACTTGCTAGTGCGAGCATATAGTTTTCTATATAGGCCTCTGGTTTTACCTGATGAGATGCAATGGGAGAGTTGTGAGTGAAGAGGATGGTGTGAGTTAGACAGAATGGATTTGGCCGATTTTTCACATGAGTCCATGTGCCTGTCGACCAGAATATTAACAAGCTGGTCAAGTGGCACATTGCTTACCCTGCTGACAACCTTTAACATCCTGCGTAATATGTTATAGTTTTTCTTCAGTAGCCCGGGAAAAACTAAGGGGGTAAAAAGCTTACTCCGTGTTATAATTTGAAGGCGAAGTCGTACTGGTGATAGATAGAGGTGTCGGCTGCAAAGCTGCCTTGTTAGAGAGGTTACAGAAGGTTTGACCCGACCTATCCTATGACACTCAGTAGGCGACAGTAGGTTCTTCTGCCCGAAAGAATCTCCATAAAGGCTATTTCAAGCAGGCCGTGTGTGATAGGTCTCAAGAAATTATCTCCCTACCTTTCTAATCACGCAACTTAGTCTCCTAAATCCCTCTAACAATGTCATAGTGGTAATTTCAATGTCTTGACCTAACGTTACATCAAAGGAAAACTATCATTATCCCCGCATCTGGAACTTCGGATGTTTCTTTGGTCGTTGATACGAGCGCACAAAACTGAAGTGGAGTTATTCATCTAATTCTTCTTGGCTTAAACTACAAATATACAAGGAAATTCTTTAGCTAGACTTCTTTAAGCCACCGGTGCAAGGATAATATCAAGCTCAAGGGTACACTATGCCACATGGATTTTCTTAATATTTTGGGCACTTTCTCTTTCTGCGAAAAATGAAATTCTACGGACACTACTTCACATTGTCTCGAGAAGTTTACCTGCATTTGCGGGGTAACATATATATACGGGTGGAACCGATAACATCTTCCAAAGTCATGTTTTGAAACTGAAAACTACTGAATAAGTTCTCCTACAGCTTTCTAAATAACCATTAGTAGTTTCGCGATTATTAGTGTTCTCTAAGCTGGTTGGTTTAATTGCAAAGCTTTCATCGTCCTTCTGGACATCTTCTTCAACGCAAGTTTTGGCATCAAGTGAACAGATTTAAATTCTTAATGAATGATAGAACTGCGTCTCCCGGTAATCATCTTAACATATGTATTGATCATTTTCTTTTGACTTGCATTTTAAACCTTCTCGTCACATGATTTACTTTTTACTAGTTGGTATATTTGGTCTATATTAACATGTTTGTTAATCGCTGGCTGATTCACTTGGGTACCAGGCTTCTAGGAATTCCCTAACTGCATTTCTTTTGGTGTTTCCTCTGTTTAAAATTTCGACATTATCCCAATCAAATTGATGTTCATAATTATCTACATGCATTGATATGAAACAGGAATATATATATATATATATATATCGTATCTTTTCATCACAGCTAATTTGTGTTCCTGGATTCTGATTCGAAGGGGACGCCCACTTTGATCGATGTAATGTCTGTTACAGTTCATACGATTTATTTTATAAATGTTATTAACTTTATCTTCTTTCTAATGTTGGGTCTTTCGGTTTGCACAATATCGAAATGAGTGATTGAACTGGATTGTACAGAAGAATGCTTCACAAATGGCTACGGCACAAATCGAAAATGTTACACCGACAGCTACAAATGGAGGTCGGGGTAATAACTCGAAGTACATTACATAACACATAGCTCAACATCCATATAATGCATCAAGTTGGCTAAAATCAGTCAATGCACACTAAGTTTCCTAATACAAACAATGAATTCATATTTTCGCATAACCCGTAAATTATACAGAGAGTAACACTCGAAAAAGACACTCCGTTATCATCCATTCAAACACAAATAATATTCAAGTATTAGTTTGTAGGGATTCGACTGGTTGGTTGCAGGATGTCATCATGAGCTGACAAGGGTTAGAGAACCATTGGAAAACCTGGAAGTACTGGAAAGCTGTTTCATCCTAGTTTGGGACTCTTCATCAGTACGCATCCACCAAGATTCGAACCCAGGACCTTCTGATTACATGGCGAGCGAAACAGCTGCCCAGTACTTCCAGGTTTTCCAATGGTTCTCTAACCATTGTCATCTCTTGATGAAATCCTATAACCAAACACAAGTAGTTTTGAGCATTAATGCTGACAGAAAAGTAGAACATACCTGAGTAGAAATCATAAAATATTGTACTTCATTTTGACTTAAACAAAAGTAGGTCACTTCTGTTGGTACCGGTATATTATCACGTAAACGATTCATGCGTAAACGAAATATTGGTGCAGAATACTTTGATACTACTAAGTCATCAATTAAGTAGGCACGTGCAAACAAACGATCCCATAGTTTCCTTGGTCCCCAACCTAAATGAATACATAATGAATGAGAGTAATTAATATATAACAGTTGTGCCAGTAGTCTCAAATAAAATTAACTCAGAAATTAATGAAATTGACTTAATGGCTTCCATGTATTAATTGAGTCTGAATAAAATTATAAACCTTTAAGGATGACCTAACTATGACAATAAGTGAATGTAACTTGAAAATCCCCATTCAGTCATATAAAAGAAAAGAAGGCGTTCAGGGAAGAGACTCTTTTCGGCGAATTCATTCACTTAGCTGTACAATCGCATATTTATACAATTTTGTTTGTGTGTGTGTGTACATTAGATTTATAAAGTTTAGATAATTATGTAATATAAGTAATTTTTGGCTTGGAAACAAATGTTAAGATGGAAAATAAAATAGAATTGATCAAGTGAGTAGAATTCAGATGAGGTCAGGTTGGAAACAGTGTTAATGAGTGGTGTTTAAAATCAAATAAGTGTGGGGTTAGAGAATAATACAGTTGAAAATAAGTAAGTTAATCGGATGATGTAACTCAGTTGACTAGAAATTGGACGTGGGTCAAGTTAGTAACATTGTTAATGAGGGTAGAGATTACAAAAGGGTGGGGTAGAGAATAATATAAGTGAAGATGTGAAATAATAAAATGCAAGAGACAAAATAATACAATTAGTAAGACTGAAATTAAGAAAGATTACGTCCATTGTAGATTTAATGAATGAACGAATTTCTTTTGTATGCAGAGTTCAGGATTTAGCAGATGAATTGCCATTGCTTCTGCGATGTGGAAAAGTTTGACCCGTAAGCTTTTAGCAAGATTGCCTTGTATTCTGTAGATAACTATGAAGTTTATTTCTGGTTTGACTTGGTGTCCAGAGTCGATCAAATGTTCAAGGATCGAGCTGCGGGGGCATCGGTTTTCTCCTTCATAAAACCATGAAGGTAAATGTTCGTTGACGCGTTTGGATAGCGAACGCTGAGTACGGCCGATATACCTGGCTCCACACGAGCAGGTGAATTGGTAGATGCACATAGATGAGGCCAGCAGCGGTAGCTTATCCTTCACGGACATACGAATCATTGGTCTCGCGGAGAACGTCAGTCGTAATTCAGCTGCAAAGAAGGTTTTCTTCAATGAGCGGGAGAGCCGATTTCTCAGTATTTCTGTAGATTGGTCTCCATTGAACTGTAGGTTCATATAGAGAAGTTTTTTTGGGGCACTGGGTGTGGACGGCTTCTCTGGTCTGGGTTTCATTGATTTTGTGATAAATCTTTCTGGATAGCCGTTTTCAAGGAGGATTTTCTTAAGAGTGTTCATTTCATCTTCTATGGCGTCCAGGCTGCAAATTCTACGTATTCTGTGGCTTAGTGAACGGATTAAGTTTCGTTTAGTATATAGAGGTACCCAACTGTGGAAGTTAGTGAGCTGTCCGTTCCACGTTGGCTTTCTGTAGATGGATCTTTTTAATGTCCCGTCTTGTTGGCGTCTCGTCAGTTGAACGTCAAGAAAAGATATCTTTGAGTTAGACTCTTTCTCCAGTGTGAACTGAATCGCAGGGTGGCAGTTGTTGAAGAACTTCAAGATATCTTCTAAATTCTCTTCGTTGTTGCAGATGATGAAGGTGTCGTCGACGTATCTCTTGTAGAGTTCAAAGTTGTCAATCATATTCTTTAAACAAGTGTTTTCGAGTTTTGACATAAAGAAATCCGCAAGCAGAGGGCCTAGTGGTGAGCCCATAGCTATACCATCCTTTTGGCGATATATTTCATTGTTAAAGGAGAACTGGACGTTTAGGGTGCATCTCAGCAGAAGTTCTTTTAAATAGTCGGTGGGTATGCCGATGTTTACTCCTTCTGAGTGGATGAGCTCGCATATGTGAATGTATGAAGTAGTCCAAACTAGTCAAGAGACGTCATACCGCACCTGCTATTTGAACTGAGTAGTCAGATGAAGATGCTGTTCATATCTGCGGCAACCCTTAGCCCGGGCCCAGTATACTGAACCTTCCCCAGTGGACGCTACAGGGAGGCAGCTACCATGTGTGACTCGACTCTCGGTTCCACCATCATCTTTGCCCAGGTGAGTTCCCTCCCGTTGTTACTCAGGGCACCGGATGGAGTGTAGCCACTGAGGACTAGGTATCCAAAATGAGACTTTTTATGTAAAGATGCCAATATTAGAAAAGTGAACGATGGTCATAAAGTGTCACGTCTATATCACTGTATACATGGCGTTTCTCCGTTAGCGATAGGCGATAACGAACGATTAGGTGGCGGAAAACGTCAGTAACAGGACTATATACAATGTTCGGGGATTTCTTCGCCTCACGCTTCACATAGGGTATCTTTCGTAGTGGGTCGCACAGATGACAGGGCCTTTGGCTACCTGAATAAAACCATAGTTACTCCTGGTAAAGTACTAATTAAAAGTGAACAATTTTATCCTGCTCCAAGTGCTGTTATCGCTGTAGGCACGGTCCTTGAAGGTAACTGTTGTTTGTGTGTCGATTAACTATTAATGAAGTATTTGTCAGGAAAGCTGGACGTCTTTATTTTCATATCATCATATAAAAACTTACTACTTCTTACGGAACAGCAATTAAGAGATTTGAATAAAGCAAGAACATCAGTGGTTTGTGCAGAATAATAGGGTACCATCATTTATCTCGTTGGCTTCTCATCAGCTTGGCTTACTGCCTTAATAAATTTACGTGTATCTGCGGAACTAATTAAACTGGAAGAACAGAAAGAAGGACAAACCTCCGATTTTCTAAACATGGCCGAAAAGCCTACGTCTCAAGGGAAAAAACTCATACAATAGCGCTCTTACCAGACATCCCCTCAATACACATCATGAGGTGGAAATCGTGAAATCATTTAAAATTATCACTAGACAAAGGAGCCCGATTCTCCTCAAGTTTGCTCAAGCAATTTCTATTAAACGCTTGAAAGCAGATTTATGTGTTCAGAAAGAAGCAGTTATTAGTCTTTCCTTGTTCAGCCTGGTAACTGGATGTCTTTATTCTCTCTTTCATTTGATTAAGTAATCTTTGGCTTTAACCTCACCCCTCGCTTTGATTTAGTGTAATTTTGCTTGTCTCTTGTTTCTATGATATCAGTTGAACTCAGTACATTGTTACCTAATTTATTAGTCACTCATCATCTTACCCACCTCGCGTCCTTATTGCATAACTACTTTACCATTATATGCATACATTTACTTTGTTTAAAATTGAACTGCCTGTGTAAAAACCGTATAAGCGTAATTTTATGAGCACTGTTCACTAATTCCGTAGCCTTCTGTCAACTGACACCATGAAAAATTTACAATATGTTGAGACGTTTTTGTACATAAACCTCAAAATTTATTTAGGCTGTAAGCAGCTGATCTGATAAGAAGCCAACGAAATAAGAACTGATGGTATCATATTATTCTTCGCAAACCACACTGATGCTCTTGCTTTATTAGAATTCATCAAGGGGAATAAATGCATGAAATTCAGCGATTCCTGGATAATTTTGTTCTCATCTCATGATCAAACTTAACACATAAAATGTGTCATCGATTATTTAGTTATAAAGTTACTTCATATATGTATAAATATAGTAAATACTCCCATAGTAAAATTAAGAACAACACATTTAAGCGAACAATATTTTGCTTTCAATTAGATCTCATCAGACTTAACTCTAATATACATAAGTTTACAAATAAAAATTCAAATATAAACCAATCATGGTGTTTTGTCTATAGGATAGTACGATGGTGAATATAAATTGTGCAATTAGTCATAATAGTAGTAATGGTAATAACAATAGTAATAATAAAAATGGTCTTATCAATAATAAGGATGAAAAAGTGAGGCAATCTGAGAAAATAGCATGATTAAACAAACAACTATTCAGGTAGAAGTAGTCGATAAACGCTAAGAAAAACAAATGAACAGATTACGTAATGCCAGACTGATTGTGAAGGAAGTACATGAAACACGTTTTTAATGAAGATGTGATAAGATTAAGGGATGATAAGAGAGGGGTTGAAAATATAAACAAGGGGTGGTGTAGAAGTCTTTAGTTGGTTATGTCTCAATAGGCCAACAAGGGAGGGATAATGGCTGTACGAACTTCTTTTGAATACATAGTTTAGGTTTAATAGTTCGAATGCCTATCGCCTCAGCTGTGTTCATGCAGTAGACGAATACTAAGTCCATTGGAAAGATTCGGTGGGATACGATGAATTACTTTGAAAGCTCTCGTTTTCTCCACTACAACATGACCACTATCAATTAAATGTGACAAAATTGAGCTACGGATTGTTTTTGTCTGTCCTTTGCCAAACCATGATGATGGGAGATGTTCAGTAACACGTTGGTTAAGCTGTCTACTAGCACACCCAACATAACTGTCACCGCAGGTGCAGTTGAATTGATAAATGCACATAGATGTGGCAAAACTATCAAGCTTATGCTTCGTTTGAGTCCCAATCATTCGTCGGCTAGAGAATGACAAACATAGGTGTGCTGCGTAAACGTTTATCGACTACTTCCACCTGAACAGTTGTTTGTTTAATCATGCTGGTTTTTTCATTATTCGTGTTATCACAGATTGTCTCACTTTTTCATCCTTATTATTGATAAAACCATTATTACTATTATTATCATTACTACTATTATGACTAATTGCACAATTTATATTCACCATCGTATTATCCTATAGACAAAACACTGTGATTGGTTTATACGTCTGAATTTCTATTTGTAAACTTATATATATTAGAGTTAAGCCTGATGAGATCTAATTGAAACCACAATATTGTTCGCTTAAATGTGTTATTCTAAATATGTACAAATGTATGTATATAAACCTGTTCATACCGTTTCCAATATTTTCCTTCGTATTGACAGCATTTTGACACTGACTATTTGACAAACGTATAGGACATCTGTACAAACTACGATCAGCAAGGTACTCCACTGGCATATTCGATTCTAAATCACAATTCATATCATTAGGTAGAACTAAATAATCATTATACGGACTGACAACAATTTGTGGATCATTTGACGATGTGATAACAACTAGCTCTAATAGTAAATTCACTGGATCCCCACTAGTATACAAACGATATTTTTGTGTTCCTTGGTCGTCATCATCAGTCATCTCTCTTGCTCCTGAATCAATCACTTGATCTGATGGATAAACAGATTTTGCATTCTGTGCATTTTTTACCAAGCCGGTCAGACTGCTGGCTGGTGTCAATGGCTTATAATACTTTCCCAGTACAGAAGTATTATTCGTCGTAAGGCATAATAGTGAATGATATGCTGGTTGACGTGTAAAGCCTCTGTTGATCAGATCCAGTGAATTTCTTTGACTCGCCGGCGTTTTGAATACTGAATCACAACTATGCTGGCTGGGTATATCATAATTACCACCGAAAAGACCAGATAGTATAGCTGCTGATTGATTAATTGGACAGGACTAATGAAAAAAAAGTAGACATGAAAAACAAGAAGCAACGAATGAAAACACACGCACCAAGACGTTGTTTAGTTATATGTAAAAAAGATTACTTGAATAAGACACAAATATTATTATTATTTCCTTTAATTCCTAGAGGAACGTAAGGCTTCAGCCCCACGTCTCCATTGCATTCGGTTCTCTGCTAAAGTTTTCACCTGGTTCCACGCCTGCCCACACGCTTTCATCTCCTCTTCACATGACCTCCTCCAAGTCACCCTTGGATTACCAACTTGCCGGTTCGCTTTCCGATTCCACTCGAAGGCTTGTCTAGTGATGTCACTTGATGGTTTCCTCAGAGTATGGCCAATCCAATTCACCCCCATTTCTTCCTGCCTATTTGTTGCACAATCGGTTCCTGGTTGGTTCGCTCCCAGAGATCCCTGTTGCTGATCATTTATGACTGGCCATCTGATCTTGATTATTGAAAGAAGACAGCTGCTGATGAAGTTCTGTAGTTTGTTTGAGATGCTCTTTATGACGTATAGTAGCACTGACTTCAAATTGCAGTTGAAAATCCGGATCTTATTTTCACTTTCATGCTGAGTGCTGTTAATCTTCACAGAGACTTGAGAGAAATGAAAGCTTGTCATCCTTTCCCGATCCTCACTTTGATATCCTAGTCAGTTCCGTCCGCCTGTAGTTGAAACGATGCTTCCCAGGTCGGTAGGTAAAAGAGGTTGTTTCTTTCAGGTTCCTCCCATTTATGCTGGTTGATTCTTGTCTGTTGTGGTTGCTGTCGCTGTTGGCCAGGAATCTTCATCATCTCTGTTTTCTCTATGTTCACCTGAAGTCCTATCTTCTCTGGATGCTTCTTCTAGAGCCAACTTGTTGCTTTTCGCCTGAATATCTTCCAGTTTGTGGAAAATCAGACATATATCATCGGCGAAGTCCAGATCCTCCCAGTTTTTTGTGTGAGTCCATTTTATGCCTATTTTCCCGCTAGCCACCGTCTGTCGCGTTATCCAGTCTACCACAATCAGGAAAATCATTGGAGATAGTAGACAGCCAGCTTGTCTTACTCCCGTCTTCACTTCGAAGGATTCCGTAAGTGTCCCGTTGTGGATTACTTGCTATGCGGCATTGTCGTACAACTGTTGAATGAGATGTATAAATATCGGCGGCACCCCTCGGTAGCAGCGAAGTAGTTGCCAAAGCACCTCTCGATCGACGCCATCGAATGCCTTTTCAATGTCGATGAAGTTGAGATAGAGAGGTGACTGCCATTCCAAACTCTGTACAATGATGATCCGTAGTGTGGCGATTTGATCAATGCATGACTTGTTTCTCCTGAATCCAGCTTGTTCCGGTCGAAGTTTTTCATCCAGAGGGGCGTGGTTTGATTCTCTCCAGGATGATGCGGCTTAGTCTTTTGCTTGGGATGGACAGGAGAATAATTCCGCGCCAGTTTTTGCATTGACTTAAGTTTCCTTTCTTTGGCAGTTTGAATAATTATCCGTTCTTCCAATCCTCATATTATTTTTGTTACTAATTCCTTGCTTTCCGAATGGACACAGGAGGGATTCTGCGGCATTTTCCCATTAAAGTGGATCCTCTGCTATCATATTCACCTGGCTCTACGACTCCCCACAAGCTTTCCATTGGACCAGCATCTAATTCATCATTTCCCTTCCGAGTTCCACTCAACGGTCTCCCGTTTGATGTGAATTGAATGTCTCCACAATACATGCCCAATCCGTCTCCACTGTCTTCTACATTTTACTCGGGTAACAGGTTATTGACTGGTTTATTGCCACACTCCCTTGTTGCTTATCCTTTCCAGACATCGAACCAGAGAAGACAGGTGTTCATGAAAGTCCTCATCGGTCTGCTGGAAGTGATATTAGATGGTTGGAGGTAATCGGCAGGAAGCCTTGGACCTAGGTTTCGTGCTAGTTGGCACTCATCATCAAGGCGTACCTGCAACCTTGAAGGAACCCATGTCCCTCCTTCTGAGATTCGAATCCGCGTCGCCTAGTGCTGCAGTCAGAGACGTTACCACTGAGCTATTCGGGCTCGTGATTGTCCTCCTGTAGGACTCTAATGGGTATTTTGATTGGACACTAGTAACTAGTGTGATGTGTCTAGTCCTTTCTTTTGGTGCAGACTGAATTCTGTCGGTCAGAAGGGACGTGAGTTGACGAGTGCCAAATAGCACGAAACCTAGGTCCAAGGCTTCCTGCCGATTGCCTCCAACCATCTAATATCATCAAAACAATGTGCACCGTGATGGCAAGCTATCTAGAATGGTGGCCACATTACAAACCTGACTGATAGAATTCAGTCAGCACCAAAGAGGGGACTAGAAACATCACACTAGTTACTAGTGTCAAGTCAAAATAGTGCTGGAAGTGTTTTAAATAATGCATACACCAATTCTGTGAAGCATGTAGAAGTACTAATTTGACATCAATGATAGAGTTATGTATTGATCTCATAAAATCAAGTAAACTCTCCGGCAAATGAGTTAGTTGTTATGCTTCGTATGGACCGCAGATAGACATTTCCAAGGATTCATCATTTAAAAAAGCTTATAACCCGTACTGTGTTCGTCGCTGATAGTTAATTTATAGACAGAAAATTCTCAGAAACACTCCAAGCTTAAGTTTTACCCTAAATGACAATTATAAACTGGACTGTACCGTACCATAGGAAAGATTTTAAAACCCTCATTTGCCTTTGAAAATACAGTTTCAAAAAGAGACATTACTATTATTATTCTTCCCTTGGGTAGCATTTGGAAAATAGGGCTTCAACAACACATCTCCACTTTGTTCTGTTTTCTGCCGTCCTCTTCGGCTGGTTAGCCCCACGACTGACGAAACTCTCTCATCTCCTCCTCGCCACACGATCTCCTTCATGTCACCGTCAAACCGACGACCCACTCGTCGCTTCTCACTGGATTCCATTCGAGCGATGGTCTGCATTGCGCGCGATGTCATTCAGTGGGCTCCTCAATGTGTGCCCGATCCATCTCCACTTTCTCCTACATATTTGTTAAGCGATTGGCTCTCTCCTGTTGGTTTGTTCCCATAGTTTCTTGTTACTAATTCTTTCTGTCCAGCTGGCCATTTGATCTTCAATATGGAGCCAGTCAGTGAAGGTGGTAGCTGTTGATAAAACGTTGCAACCTGTTGGAAATGCAAGTTTCTGATCCATATAGAAGAACTAATTTAAAATTTGTCTTGAAAATCCGAATCTTGTTCTTTATGCTGACTGACTAGTTGCAGAAGATTTCCGAACCAATTTCAGATTGACCAAGATGTATCTTGCTTTTGTGATTCTGGCCAGCTTTGACATCTTCATCCCTCCGGACTGTCTGTGATTGAAACCGTGCTTCCTAGCCAGATAAGTGAAGGAAGGAAGTACCCTCTGTCAAATCTCTCCCGTCGATGGTGATTGGTGATGATTGTTCCTGTTAGTGCATGGGTATCTTTATCAACTTCATCTTCTCTATACTCACTTGGAGTCCTGTCTTCGCTGCCAGCCCCTTCTGCCAGCTTTTTTGGTTTTCGCCTGTAAGTCTTCGAGTTTGTGTGATATTGGATAAAAATCATCCGTGGAATTCAGATCATCTATAGTCTTCTCATCGGTCAGTTCAACGTATTCCTGCCTTCTCACTCAGATGCACAGTCTGACGCATAATCCAGTCCACCACAATTAAGGATATTATCGTGGTTGATAATAGGCAGCCAACCTTGTCTTACTCCTCCTGTTTTCGACTGTGGGTTACCTGATATGCGGTATTGCCATATAGCCAGCTGTTGAATGAGGCTGATAAAGATGTAAGGCACTCCATAGTGTTGAAGTAGTTTTCAAATTACTTCTCGGTCAACGCCGTCTGTCGAAGGCATTTTCGAAGTCGATGAAGTTGAGGTAGGGAAGTGTTTGACTGCCGTTCTATGCTTTGTTCTGTGATGATCATGATGCGTAGAGTTGCAAGTTGCCCAGTACATGATTTGTCTTTCCTAAATCCAGCTTGTTCTGGGCGGACTTCACTCACTTGGATATTTATTCTGACAAAACGTATCGTTATCGAGTCGAGTGATTAGCCTCGCGTGATTCGAACAAGTAGTCCCCTACAAGACTCACTGCACTGATTTATACCGGTGGTTAAGTTAAAGAAGAGTGGTCCATGCAAAGGAGTTTACGAGTGACTATGAGCCAGGGAAATCAGAGTACAGCAGTCTGATTCACGTAGAATAATATCAAACACCACTACTTTTTTGAAATGTTGAGAGAATAAGTTCCAGTTTCTCACAGCACTGTAGATATTTCATCCAAATAACTGTCATTCAGATTGAAGATCTTCAGCCTATTTTAGTGTCATTATTATTATTGTTTCCTTTAATTCCTAGAGGAACATAGGGCTTCAGTCATACGTCTCCATTGCGTTCGGTTCTCTGCTAGAGTTTTCACCTGGCTCCAAATCTGCCCACATGCTTTCATCTCCTCTTCACATGACCTCCTCCAAGTCACCCTTGGACGACCAACTCGCTGCTTCCCTTTCGGGTTCCACTAGAGGGCTTGTCTAGTGTATGGTCAATCCATCTCCATTTCTTCCTGCCTATTTGTTTCACAACTGGTTCCTGCTAGGTTGGTTCGCTCCCAGAGATCTCTATCGCTGATCTTTTCTGGCCGGACCTCTGATCTTGAGTATTGAGCGAAGACAACTGTTAATGAAGGTCTGTAGTTTGTTTGACATGCTCTTCATGACACACCAAGTCTCTGATCCGTATAGTAGCACTGACTTCAAATTGCAGTTGAAAATCCGGATCTTATTTTCACTTTCATGCTGAGTGCTGTTGACCTCCACATAGACTTAAGAGAAATGAAACCTTGTCTTGCTCTCCCGATCCCCACTTTGATATCCTCGTCAGTTCCGTCCGCCTGTAGTTGAAACGATGCTTCCTAGGTAGGTGAAGGAGGTTGTTACTTTCAGGTTCCTCCCATTTATGCCGACTGATTGTTGTCTGTTGTTGTTGCTGTTGGTGGTGTTTGGCGAGGAATCTTCATCACCTCTGTTTTCTCTATGTTCACCTGAAGTCCTATCTTTGATGCTTTTTCTGCTAACTTGTTGCTTTTCACTTGCATATCTTCCAGTTTGTGGGAAATCAGACATTTATCATCGGCGAAGTCCAGATCCTCCCAGTTTTTTGTGTGAGTCCATTTTATGCTTGTTTCCTCGCTGTGTGCTGTCTGTCGCTTTATCCAGTCTATGGCAATCATGAAAATCATTGGCGATAGTAGGCAGCCGGCTTGTCTTACTCCCATCTTCACTTCGAAGGATTCTGATACTTTACCATTGTGGATTACTTGGCATGAAGCATTGTCGTACAGCTGTTGGATGAGATGTATAATTGTCGGTGGCACCCCGTAGTAGCGAAGTAGTTGCCAAATCACCTCTCGACCAACTCTGTCAAAGGCCTTTTCAAAGTCGATGAAGTTGAGGTAGGGAGGTGACTGCCATTCCAAACATTGTTCAATGATGATCCGTAGTGTGGCGATTTGATCAATACACGACTTGTTTCTCCTGAATCCAGCTTGTTCCGGTCGAAGTTTTCCTTCCAGGATGGCGTGTTTGATTGTCTCCAGGATGAAGAGGCTTAGTATTTTGCTTGGGATGGACAGGAGCATAATTCCGCGTCAGTTCTTGCATTGACTTAAGTCTCCTTTCTTTGGCAGTTTGAATAAGTATCCTTTCTTCCAATCCTCGGGTACCTTGCCCTCTGTCCACGCCTTCTCCAATGATGGGGTCATCAAGTCCGCTTTTGTATCTGGGTCCATTTTCAATGCTTCTGCTGGGTTTTCACCTAACATTTTAGTGTTAGGTTATAATGATTTGCAAAAACTGATTACTAATTATCACCGATGATATTCCTGACTGTGACGGATTGGATCATGAAGTGGACTATGGGGAACAAGAAGACAGAATTGACAAAAATACTCTAGGAGATTTGGACTTCACGGACGATTTATTTGTTGACCTTACACAGACTCGAAGGTCTACAGGTAAAAACCAACAAGTTAGTAGAAGAGGTGAACAACAAAGATAGGAACTCAAATAAACATAGAGAAGACAGAGGTGATGAAGGTACTTAACCAACATCAAGAACAACAGAAAGCACTAATTACTATCAACCGAAGACATTTGAAGGAAGTCCCTTCGGTCACTTATCTAGACATCATGGTTTCAACCACAGGTCGTATAGATAAGGATGTCAAAACCATTCAAGATCGGAAAAGTAAGACAAGTCTTCAATAAACTGAAATCAGTGTGAAAACCTGCTGAAATCAGCACGAGGAACAACATACGAATTTCCAACACGAATGTCAAGTCAGTCAGTGCTTCTATATGGTTCAGAGACTTGGTAAGCACGTCATCAAAAGCGTTTTCAAAAGGCTACTGCATATTCACCAACAGTTGTCTTCGCTCGATACTGAAAACCAAATAGATGGTCAGAAGGGATAAGCAGTAAAGAACTCTGGCAACGAACCAATCAAGAACCTACTGTCCAACGAATATGCCGAAGGAAATGCAGATAGGTTTGACATAGGTTGAAGAGACCGCTGAGTGAAATCACGCAACAGGACCTCAAGTGGAACGCAAGCGGGATACGACGAGTTAAAGAGGATGACAGTGGGGAGAACATGTATTGAGAAAATTAAAGGCTATAAATAATCGTGGAGCCTGCTACAGAAGACTGCAGAGAAGGGAGTAAAGTGGCGATTTGCTGCTTAAGCGCTATGTTCCACTCAGGATCCACGGGAATACCAATAATAATGCAAGTATTAATTTGTGGGGATTTGACTGATTGGTTACAGGATTATATTATGAGCTGACATTGATTCTCGAACCATTGGAAAACCAGCTGAGAGTACTGGACAGCTGTTTCGTCCCACTAGTTTGGGACTCTTCAGTGAATCATCAATCAAATTCCTAAAAACCAATACTTGAATATCGATGAGATGGTCACTGGCGACTGACTGTATTCAGGTGGGTATTCACCTTGGTTCTAGTGGGGAGCCGTGACCAAAAGGGTGAAGTACGTCGGGTGTGAGGAAAAATACTCGCTGAAGACATTGGCTAGCGGTCGCACTATTCCAAGAATTGGCAGAAGTTAGAATTCATGGACCATTGGATCGGGTCCCAGTGGCTTAATGGTCTACGAGCTCGCCTTGTGACCAGAAGGTTTTGGATTTGACCCTCGGTGGGTGCGTACTGCTGAAGAGTCCCAAACTATGACGAAACAGCTGTCCAGTACTACCGGGTTTTCCAATGGTTCCCTAACCAATGTCAGCTCATGATGTAATCCTGTAACCAATAATAATGCAATTAGTGTACGGCCAGAATAAGACTGAATCTGGAGTTGGATTGAGGTTAGGTTAGGTTAGGTCCAGATTAGGGTGAACTCTCTTGCCCAGGTAATGAAAATCATTCATTATGAAGAATAAAGTTGATATATCTGCCCTAACTGCATTATTATCTACTCAAACTTCCATTGGCTGATTCTAGGTCATTCGTGGGCTGGTTTACCCAGATTACTATACTATATATTGAAGTTTACGCTGAAGTTTCTATCTAGAAAGACTATGAAAGATTAGCAATTAAACCAGCTATCCATCTCAGAGAACATAAGCACATCGGAATTTTCCCCATAGTTTATATTACTTACTTTGTCACACGAACATCCAAGATCACAAGTATCTTTGGTTAGATCACAAGGACAAGGTGATAATTCTATCCAAGCAGGATCAGGATAGGGAAATATTTGATCTGGAAATAAATGAACACATTGAAACAAATAACAATTTCATGAAGTAGGCTAATCAATTAACTATACAAACTCATATATATATATAATATATTTTAAATTTCGGAGATCAAATCTCACTACTTATTTGAAATAAGTAGTGTTTCACCGACAGTAAACAGCTGTACACATAAATAATCTTAAAATCGGTGAATTTTAAGTGGATTTTTAAGAATGGATGTGATTTGAAGAACTATTGAAGAACAAAGGTGTGCTGCATAATTACTTCATTGTGTTTTAGAACACTGAAGAAATGTGTTTGCTCAGAAGCGTAATATTCATGGGAATGATCCTGTATGGAGTCGTAGATGAGTACTAGCAATGCGTAACGACATGAGATGTAACAGTTGTCTACTGCACCTTCATTTATAAACATGCATTTGTCTGGTTGATGTCAATTTGTGATAAAAACAAACCTTATTTTAAATCAACTTAATTCCTTACAGATCAGTTAAATGAGGATGAAAACTTATATTAGACTAAAGTTTCTTGAAGTATGAGAAGTATGACCGATCATTCAATGTTCTGCCAGCATCAGTTGAAGGAAGTTAGTAGAAAACCATGGACCTAAGTGTCGTGTTTGTTGGCAGTCGTCAGTAGAGTGTAACTGTAACCTCGAAGGAACTGATATCTTCTTGGAGATTCTGACTTGCACCACTTACTACTCTAGTCAGGGAGCACAAACACAAAGGACTAGACATACTTCCTAGCGATGAAGATAACCAACCAACCAACAATAACAACAACAACCAGCACCAATCAACATATTAGAATGAATTTGAAAGAGGTTATTTCCTTCATTTGCCTAGGAAGCATTGTTTCAACTACTGATGACACCAAGGATGAGGATGTTGAAGCCAGAATCGGGAAAGTAAAGTACACCGTCATCACTCTGAAATCATTATACATTTGGTTCTCATCAGCTGTCATTGACTACCTGATAATACAATGGTTATATAGATGATAATAACATACTTTAGTGTTTAAGTGTTAGTTGAGAAGAGATACTATAAAATTGACGCATCCAAAATGTAAGCAGCATTACAATTTTTAGCTTAGGTTTTCATCACCAATTTATACGCTTTCAAAGTAGAAACGAGGGGGGAGGAGTAAGACAGAAAACAGAAAAAAATTAACAAAACAGTGTGAGCTTGTAGGTTTACATAGCAACTCAAAAAACCAAAAGGCGGTTACAGTTTGTAAGATTGAATTTCACTCAGCGAGTTAAGATCACTGAATTAGATGATTAATTATTGTAATCAAAATCAAAATTCATTTACCAAGGGAGTGAGAAGTTAATCACACTCTCTTTCTGTATGCATAAGTCCGGTTTAAATTGTTTGATTGCGATCGCTTCGGCAAATCGTAGTAAATTTGCTGTCCTTTGTCTATTTATTATTTTGAAGGACTTAGAAATCTCTACGAGATGACCAGTATTAACAATACGTCTAGTAATTGCACTCTGAAATTATTTGCTTCCTTTTAGGTACAGGTTTCTTTGAATATATTCAGAAAACCGGATAGAAGCCCTTCTTTCTGTCCTTCCAATGTTCTTGCTCCCGCAAGCGCACGTAAATTCATAAACGCAGTTGGAGGTGACATCAACAGGGTATTTATCCAGTTTTGATTGGCTTATAGAAGAAGTAGTGCTGTATAATGTTATGAGTTCAGCTGTAGGGAAGCTTCCTTTTATCAAACCTTTCAGTCTTTTGACCTCTGCTTTCAATGGAACAACCTATTATTGTCGATATGTTGATGACACATTTGTTGTTTGCAACGACATGGATCACGCATCGGCAAGAGGCGATCGCTCAACAAATAAATGGAATAAAATGAAAATGAATTGGGCACACACTGAGGAGACCATCGAATGACATCGCACTCAATGCAAGTGGAGTCCAAATGGGAAAAATGACAAGGGGGTCATCAGTGCGAGGGTGACATTAAGGAGGTCATGTGAGGAGGGGATGAGAGACCATGGGCAAACGTAGGACCATCTCAAGATGACCACACAGAATAGGGCAAAGTGGAGATTTGCTATTGAAGCCCTATGTTCCAGTCAGAATCCAAGGGAACAATAATAATAATAATCCCTGTGATTAATCAATCTACCCATTACAGGAATACAAGACCTCATTCATCTATCCGAATCAAATATTGGTAACCTCACTCTCAGACACACGTTCACATCTTAGAATAAACATCAATTCCTTAGAGGTTATAGATAGATCTAGCTGAAGAATGCTAAAAAGCATGCAGCCTAGGTTCAAAGCTTTCTATCAATAGCCACTAACTACCTAACAAAGTATTCTTTAACCGAAAGCACTGAAAATCAAAATTTTATTTAACACATAGGTGTTATATAAAATGAAATTATCTAACGTGGAATTATACTCTATCACAGTACCCAAATTCTACTCTCACATTAAGAATTCACATAGAATAGGAAACTAAGTCTTAACTTTAATGGGTAGGCAAATTTTAGTTTATACACACTTTCAAAATCTATTTTCGCATAGTAGAGACTAAAGCTTTTTGCTGCCTAAAGGGATTTCAGTAACATCATTTGAAAATCCTCTTTGAAATCTTCATGTAATTACTATTTCTCTTAAAGCTATTTGTTGCATTTTGTTTTCCTATGATTAGATCTGCTTTAATAAAGGGCTACAATTTGAACTGATGCAATCTTGAGGTATTTATAGGTCAATAATTCATTTCAGCTTACTTCAGTAGTCTGCACAAATGTGCTTCCGTTCAAATTAGAGAAAAGTAAAGCAATGACACTACAACAGACGAAAACGTATGAAAAGAGAGGTTAATTAGGCAAGCTCCTTTTTCTTTTGCCTTCCAAGTAGAAACATAAGGCTTCAAGCTTGAGCAAAACTTAATTTCCAGCAGCAGTGGAGGTTTTTTCATAGGGGTGTGGTTGCTAGCCTCACTCACAGACGTCCGCCTCTATTGGACTTAATAAAGGCTTTAAGAGTGCATCGGTTGAAAATCGAACCTGGACCGTTTGTGGCGTGTTTGACGAGTATTCAACGTCTGGAATGAATCCAAATCCCTGCAAATGACCACTTAAAAATTGATATATTTTTGCCGAATAAAGTTGTTCTCACAGTCAAAGCTAATTCTTGTCCCTATGATATATCTACGCCTCGGTAAATATAGAAAGTAATTGCAGGACTGACTGACTGTTTTCAACGTAGAACTTTCCACAGATGTGCAACAGTTTCAGTTGCCATCCTCCCTCCACATACCACACAAAGCAAGAGAAGAGAGTAAGGCGAGATTCAAAAGAGAGATAACAAACAGAAGTGTCAGTGAGGGAAAAAGAATAGTAATATGGAAGAACAATAGAATTTTATCGGATATTATAAATCAAAAATAGTGAATGCATCTGCACCAGCCATTGAGAACGATTTTCAGTCATATCAACAATTGTCTCCAGCCTTCATTGGTCCTTACCATCTCGAGGGCTCCAACCAATCCGGCAGTCCACACACCCCTACGTGGCTAGCTCAAACTAACTGTTAAGGATTTCATTGACTGATCATGTCGTGCTTTGGTTTGACCACCACTGGCTCTTTTCTAACCTGATCCTATGTTGTCAGCTAACGTTGGCCGTCGAGGAAGGCGATGGCTAAAACGCTGCGTAACACATGACCTAACCATCTCAATCGATGTAATTTCATAACCTCTTCGATTGATTGCTACTCCTTACCTCGCACTCGACCAACGCCTCACCTAAATATTACTCCCCCTGTCACACCTACCACCCAACACGAGAGACAGAACGCAGACACCTGTGATCAAAGACAACTAGCCAGGCTTTTCATGTCTTCCACTTTCAATAGCCATGTCTCACAGTCAGCCATAAAGGAGTAGGTGGGAGTGAACTACTGAGCAGTACACACGCCTTTTGGTTGACTGCCAGCCAGCCGAATATCACGTCTTGAAGGAGAACATTCGAAATTCGGTATTCACTAGAGTTGTCTATCTCATTTCAATATCACTGTACCCACACCTCAGATTCAACAATTTCCCCTCAGTAAAACATTCAACTACGACCACATACATATATCGAGTTACTTGAATTCTAGTTAAAAATCTGAGTGCAAATATTATGGTAAGTTAAACAAATTCTGATGTTTAGATTAGGGTTTATTTTGTGGTAACTGGATTAATTTGAGTGTTCGTTTCCTTGCAAACTAACCTTATTTAGATGTCACTGGAAACTAAGGAGCAATGGACAATTGTTTTGTTCCAGTTTGAGACTTTTCATTAGCGCTGAAATCAATCTAAATCCCTACAAAACACCTATAATCTTGATATCAGCAGCCATCACATTGATGGAACTGTATGGATATCTTGAAGCTTTACTGAAACGTCGTGAACACTAAGGTCGTACATGTCACCTTGAAGTAGATGCTCATCAAAGGCATTTGATTAAAGGTGGCCCTGCAATCCGAATTCACAGAAGTTACAATTCACGGTTCATTGAATTCCGACCCAAGTGGATGAACCGGTCAGCGAGCTTGGTCTCGTAATCCGAATATCCCAAGTTCCATCTGTAGTGGGATTGTGAGTGTGTAGTGCTGAAAGATCTCCCAACTAGGATGAGACAGCTGGTCAGTGTTCCCTGGTCATCAGTGATCTCTAACTGATTTTTGTTTGTGACAAAATGTGAACTTGAACTATGATGTGAAGTACCAGAATATCACCAGATTTAGTTACTCTCTTAGTTGGACTATGTTAAGTCACTCTCTCTCTCTCTGTCATTGCTGCTGGCTGCTGCTGCTGCTGCTGGGTTCAACATAGAACTTGGCACCGAAGTGCAGCAGTTCCATTTGCCACGTTCCAAATAGCACACAAAGGTAGACAGGAAAATGAGAGAAGAGAATCAAGAGAATTTAGATAAGTATAAGACCGGCCGAAAGCTGCTACCTTGACGTGGTGGTCGGGCTTGAACACAGCAATGACCCAACAAGCTATACTGGCTGGAACTTATGTTCCTGTAGGTCCTACCATGCCAGAAAGGTTGTTTGGATAGCGGTTAGACTAAAAGCAGTTACCCAATCCAATCCTATGACTTCAAATAAATCACAAAATATCATGCCGGATCGGTCGGGGCCCGGATTAACAACGACCGCGCTTTCTGCTGCCGTGTCACAGGGCAGAAGTGATAAATACGCTACTGAGACACACAACAACAAACAAAAACAGGCCGTGGGTGACCGGCCTCAAGCAGCTGTCCCCTGGGCTCTGCAGTCACGCAACCAACTTCCACGGTGTGGGCAGCCGGGAAGTAACAATCGCCCTCACAATCCGAAGTGCACGCCAAACCTCTCTGTCATTAACTAAAGATTTGCTTACATCAAACTTCGGGCAAAAGTAAACAGTAGACACCACAGTCAAATGACCCTGAACCATCCAGTCAGATCGCTCAACATTACAAATGCATGTTTTTTTATAATCTTCGCTGTAAGTTTAATCCTGATTCAGGGTTAAGGTTAGGGTAAGACTAAGGTAAGGTTATGGCTAAGCTTAGGGTAAAACTTCCAATGAAGATAATGAAAAGCAATTATATTTGTAATGCTGAGCAATCTGGTTGATCGGTCCAAGGTCATATTGTGACGACAGAAGACAAGAGTCAGGCAACAGATCGTTTATTGAGAAAATCGAGAGGTATTTATAGATTTCTATGTACATTATTATTGTCGTTATTGTTAGCAGAGAACCAACGTCTTCTGATTGGTTGTTTTCTTGCTGAAGGTTACTCTGTACTGCTTGTAACCGTTTCTTAGAAAGTTAAGCCATATATGTGCGAATCGTGTCCGCCTACGCTAAGTCTGTTGTGATTGGTTGGTGAGTCCCTCAAGGTTAAACTTTGTTATTGTTTTTTCTCATGACCCCGATTCGGGGCGTAAACATTGACGTAAATTGATGTCTGCCAATTTTGACTAGCAGACAGCTCTATTCTTTACCCTTGCCCAAGCCGAGTATTTTTAGAAGAATATAAGAATAGAACTCAAGCACTGCGGTAGAGCATAATTCCAATACGGCAGAAAAGTTTTAGGAATTATTAAGAAAATATCAAATCAGAAAAAAAAACTACCTGAAGGCAAACTATCACCTTTATTGATAATTAAAGGTGGCTGGAGCAAAACATTTACTCTGGCTGTTGTTTTAATATTTGCAAATGCAGGATCAACACTGGCACTTTGTGTTGTACTACAACATTTTAGAATTAATATTTCCATTTTATTAGCATTCTCAACTGATGGATAATAATTCCGTTTTATAGTTAATAAACGTGAAAGTGAATCAATGGCTGAAGTCGACGATACCTGTAAAATATTCACAAAATAACTTCAGTCAATGAACCATTGAAAATTGAAGAATACTGAGCGTGTGTTTCGTCTTAGCTTTAGACTCTTCAGTAGTATGAGTCACTGACTCCATTAGGAGTCAAACACAGGACCATTAGGTTACAAGGCAAGCCGGTTGACTATTCACAGTCACCTTGAAGGAATCCTATGAATTCTAATTGCTATCAATCTGGAATATACGTATGATTTTTCGGAAATACCATTTTCATATAATACCCAAAGGACAAGATGTCGCATCTGAACACTTCTATGTGTATATATCAGTTCACCTGCTGCTGTGGAGCCAGGATCATCGAACAATATGCTTCCTCCTTCTTTGCATTGCAGAAGCCGTAGCCACTCAGTTAATTGGACCAGAACTATGCATGCAAAAGAAAATTATTCAGCCAATTCCACTATCATGGTAACAACTCTGTTGATTTGACTTAACTTTTGCTTGTTTGCTTGTTTTTTTTTCTAACTACATAAAACCCCTTTCGTAATTCCATATTTTACTTTGTTCCCATGTACACCTTGAGCACAACTCTTTCATCAAACTATTCATGTTATTACGTAACTCTTCTTTAACAGTGGTTTGTGACAACTCATCATTTTGATACTACGCCTCTTCTATCAACATCCAACTCCTCTGAACGCTTTTTGAATTACGTAACTACACCAAAAACTTACTAATTGTATTTTTGTTTGACAAATTTAATGTACACACACACATACAAAATAACCACCACCGGGAAGAGACTCTTCGTTGAACTACTGGTCTTCTCTCTAATAAAAAATAGTTGCGTTTCGTGCCTTATGTTCCAAGTGGAATATAGAGCTACAAGTTTGAAAGTTTCGGTAGAGGTTATACTTTTTTATGCGGTGGAGCTTCTGGTATCACTATCAACCTTACCCCTTTTACCGGCTTACTACAGGCTGATGAACTTGTTGGTTTAGGAGTGTGTCGGTGGGGATTCAGAACCGAACCCCCAAGCTAGTTGGCAAGCATTCTATCCTTTAGTCCACAGACGGATGTAATAAAAGTTTTATCGGTGCATCGCGTTCTTTGAGCTAGATGCTTCCGATTGTAAAGCCCTCTCAGCATTGTGCATCGGGTATGTAGGGATTTTGGAGGCCTCCTTGAATCTCTGGGCTACCTGAATTTTCATCCGACACAATACAACTCATTTTCTTTAGTTCTTTTTGTCATAATCATTCAGTTACATTCCCTATTGTTTAGCATTTCTGTGGGACAAAAGAAAAGTACTGTACAGGATTATTTTATTATTCACTGCGTCACATGATGTACTGGAGATGGCTGCTTTACTTGAAACTTCTAGATGAAGAGTAAGTGTTACGCGATAAGCCACGCTGAAACTTGTGCATATTGTGTAAAATTATTGTGCATAATAAAGCTATTGTTATTGCTATTATTGCTGAATAATTTTGATGTGAGTTTTGCAACAGATGTATGTCAGCTAGTGAATCAATAAAAGCCAGAGAGAACTGGACAAATGTTTCCTCCTACTCTGAGACTTTTCATCAGTGTTCACTGTTAAGCACAACATGCGTAGAACCAAATATACAAGCTGATTATATTCGTTAATCGCTTAAAATCCAGTAGAAATTTAAGCACAGCTCGTGTATCATAGTCATATTAATAAAGCTAGAATATGATTGGTTGTTCAAGGTCACCTGGTAAACCGCTCAATTCGAATGTTAGATGCTTTACATTGTAACATTCAATAAAAAAGATATCAACTTACTTTAAATTCATTTAGATAAGGTGTTACCGTCCAACTACTTGAATTTCCATCTAAATGGGAAAATTATACACACACACAATAAGTGGAAATTATTCAAAATTTTATGATTAAACATTTCTATTTAGGTATTGAGTCGTATAACAATAATTCAGGTACCTTACTAAATGCGGGCAATTTTATTTGTAATGTTCTTGGATAGAAAGACTATCTATAGATATAATTAATGGAAGGTGGTTGAAGATTAAAACAAAAAATCTGCATCGCCACAGAATTCAAATATATCGCCTCCGGACTACTAGCCCGGAGGTAGTTGATGTAAGAGAAAATGAACAGTGTATAAAATGTTACCAGTTGGAGACGAAAGGGGAATGAATCACAACAGGCCTAGTGGATTAACTGAATTGAATCAGGAACTGAAAAACGGCGGTCAAAACCTGATAAGTTAGATTAATATGAGATCAGAGAATCAATTTTTATTGGGTTATTATCGCCATTATTATGTAAGTGTTGTAAATATATACCAAGTGAAATAATTACGAAGAAATTAAGAAAATCAATTCAATGAACTTTTAATGCTGGCAAATTACACGTATTATTCTCTACACGACCGTCGGTGCTACCTCAACTGAAAGATGAAGTACCTAGACTAGCCACTTCTTTCAATTGTACCTACCAATTCAACTGCGGTGGTGGAGACAGTTTACTGTCTGCGTTAACTGAGGTTCTAGGCAGCGTCTGGGAATCAGAGGAAGTCCCATCGGGTTGGTGTAAGTCACTGATCATCCCGATATACAAGAAGGGAGACAAGTCTTCTTGTGATGATCACAGAGGGATTAGCTTGACTAACATAGTATCTAAAATCCTAGGCTCAATAATACTGCGTAGACTAAGTGGTGCTCGGGAAGCACAAACACGAGAAAACCAGGCAGGTTTTAGGCCAAGAAGAGGGTGTATTGATCATATCTTCACCCTTCGACAGATTCTAGAACATAGGCATTCCTACCGGCGTCCGACAATCATTATATTTCTTGACCTAAAGGCGGCATTCGATTCTGTCGACCGAGAGGTTCTCTGGCGATACTTAGCTGTGAAGGGAATGCCGAGAAAATACATCGCACTGATTAAGGCACTCTACTCGTACTCATCCAGCCAGGTGAGGGCCTATGGCGAGTTGTCATCTGAAGTGGTGACGACTAGTGGCGTCCGTCAAGGATGCCCATTATCCCCATTCCTATTCAACTTCATCATAGACGTACTAATGGACTTAACCCTAACTCACTTTAGCGACTCAGGGATTGACTTGCTATCAGGGAATAATCTCGTCGACTTAGAATATGCAGACGATATAGTCCTTCTAGGCGAGGACGCTGACAAAATTCAGAGTCTACTGAACACCCTGAGCAACAATCTTCGTATGTTTGGCATGCGATTCGCCCCTGTAAAATGTAAGATGACGCTGCAGGATTGGACTTCACCGACCCCTAGATTAGAAATAAGAAGTGAAGTGGCAGAGCACGTTGACCACTTCACTTACTCGGGAAGTACCATCAGCCCCAACGAGTTGATCTCAGACGAAATCTCAGCACGAATACAGAGGGCTAGGTTCGCATATGCCAGTTTACGCCGTCTCTGGCGTAGACGTGATATCCTGCTGGCTGTTGACCAAAGGGCAGGTGTACTGCTCAACAGTCCGCTCCGTCCTCCTTTATGGCTGTGAGACCTGGCCATTGAGAGCAGAAGACATGAAAAGATTATCTGTGTTCGATCATAGGTGTCTGCGTTCTATCTCCCGCGTGAAGTGGTATAATAAGGTGAGCAATATTGAGGTTAGGCGTCGAGTGCTAGGTAAGGAGGGGAAATCAGTCGACGAGACTGTGAAATTACATCGACTGAGATGGTTAGGACATGTTGCATATGCCTAGTCATCGCCTTCGTCGAAAATGGGCAATGTTAGCTGATATAGGGCCAGGCTGGGAAGGAGCTAGTGAGTGGCAGTCAAACCAAAACATGGCACCAGTCAATGAAATCCACAACAGTTAGTCTAAGCCACGTAGGAAGGTGTAGACTTCTTGACTGGTTGGGGTCCTCAGGACGGTAAAAACCAATGGTTGGAAACAATTGGTGACATGGCTCAAAATCGTTGTCAATGGCGCAGATGCATCCACTCCTTGTGACTTATGATTTCCAATTAAACTGTTTTGTTCTCCGGTATTACTATTCCTTTGTCTCACGCCTCTGTTTACTGTCTATATTATGCATTTCTCCTAATTTCTTCTTTTCCCTTCTGTGCTGCATGGAGTGTAGCGATTTGAACTGCTGCACATCGGTGCAAAGTTCTGTGTTGAATACAGACAGACAGACTGGTTCCCAAACCAAGAAGAAAAAGGTACCTTCAGGTTTCCTATATTTCTTAAACTGATATGGCCTAATGACAAACTGTATCAGCATACACTAAATATTTAAATATCTTGACATTTTCCATCCATCGTCCGAGTTTCGAGTGATGTGTAGAGCTTCAAGGTTGAGCTCTGAAGCTTCAGTAGCGATGTTGTTTCTAATGGGATAAGATGGCTAGCCTTACAGCTAACCTTCCCTTGTTTACAAGCTCATTACTGACTGGGAAACTAGGAGAGGTTTAGAATTGTGTTGACCAAGAATCGAAGGTGGACCTCCCACACGGTTGGCGACCATTCTATCATTGGTGTGCTACCACTGTCAATGTATTAACTTCAATAATGGAGCGTTCCCGTTGTAAGCGAAATATTTTGGAATAGATGCTTAAGTACTCCAACTCACTTTGTCTAGTACATCAGTTTGACATATTAACTTGTTTTTCCAGTTTGACGACGGATTGATATCAGTTAGAGAACCATTGAAAAACAGCGCAAGATTACTGAACAGCTGTTTCATCCTAGTTTATGAATCATCGTCAGCACGCACCCACTGCCAGGGCTCGAACCCAGGACCTTCTGGTTACAAGTTCGCATACTATTCAGTCACTGAAATCCGATCCCTCAATGGCCAACCCATGAATTCTAACTTCTACCAATTCGGCGGAAACTCCATTCCGCCGATGACATTGGTTAGTGGTCACGTTACAATCGCCAATTGGTAGAAGTTTGAATTCATGGGTTGGTGGCCATTGAGGAATCGGGTACCAATGACTGAATGGTATACGAGCTTGTCTGCTTGTAACCGAAAGGTCCTGGGTTCGAACCCCCTGGCAGTCGGTGCGTACTGCCGATGATTCCCAAACTAGGCTGACGAAACAGCTGTTCAGTACTCTAGTGCTGGTTTTCAATGGTTCTCTAACTGATATCAATCCGTGGGCGAATTCGAAAAACAAATCAAATCTTGAATGTTAACTAGTGTTTAATTAAACCTTCATCTTTTAAAATGAGTGAACATTGAACAGGGTTTGAAGTTTAAAATAACTATTGCACTTACTCACTGAATAATTCAGGTATTTAGTCGTCGAGTTTTGAGTCAGTTATTCAATCATTACATTTTTACATTAGAAGAACCTCTTCTGTACAAAAATAGAAAAGACTTATACATAGCACTGTTCAGGATACCATGAAGCTCAGTAGGTAGAATCCAACAACTCAGGCTATTAGTCACAATTTTTGTTCGATGCCTTACTGGAACAACCAGCTGCCCAGGCTGAAGTAGATTGAGTGGGGTTCAAACCCTGGAACTACTAGCCAAAAGTTAAGTGTTTAAGCCTCGCTGAGCCAGGAGGCATACAGTGAAGGTAGTAAATCAGGACGAAAAAGTTGTTCAGGAATTACATTTTTTACTAACATTCCGAGCAATAAAACTTCTGTCTCTAAAATGTTGGGCGAAGTTCAACAATAGCGTCCCAGGAGTGCAAATGCTTCGATGATCTTGAACGCATGCTAGTCGTTGGCTGATGGCACCTGTCATTATCATAGCTGAAATATCAACACTATTGACCAACTAAGGAGCAAATTTCAACCAGATCACGTTTTTAAGTACTGTTTAGACAATGTGCTAGTAGCACTTTAGGGTTAGGATTAGGGTTAAGGTAAGTATTGGGGTTAGGGTTACGATTAGGGATAGATTTATAGTTGATGTCATTTATTTTAATTTGTTTTATTATCCACATTTTCCTGGTAAGTAATCTTCGATCCTCTTGCTGGAAACCATAGTAATTCAATCGAGGGCTTTGGGGAAGACTGCACAACAGGATGAGAGACATAAACGATTCCCCAAAACAGCTGATCTTCAGTCACCTCGGTGAATAAATGTACAGAAACTAACTTAGCAACTGATACTCCTCATTATAACTTGGACGTATTTTTAAGCGACGTCAGAAAAAGATAACCTGTTTAATGTGTTTTCATGCATTTTCTTGTAAATATACGTCCTATTTTCGTGCAAAAGTTCCTCATTTTTATAATTGGTCGGCTCAACGTCACTCGTGCGTTCGCATCCCTTGGGACGCTATTGTTAAACTTTGCCAAATGTAGGATACACCCAAATAATAACATCTGGGAAATGCCCTTTTTCTGGTGTACCTATATGAATGATAAACAGAAAATAACTTAAAGTTACTTTATTCGGAGGTAAATAGCAGTGGAATCCACCAGGATGCACGTTTCGTCCTATTTCGGACTCGTCACTGGATGTTCCTGCATCGTTTGCGAGTGGTCATGGAGTACCCACTGAGACTCAAACCACGCACCCATCGTTTCAAACGCCAAAGAATTAACCCCTAGGCCACGAGGACCAGCCAAAAAGCACCAACTTCACGTTAGTTCTTAGATATCACCGAAGCGTCCGTACTATATGAGCCGACATGTTAACAGAGAAGGAGCATTTTCGTCCAACATAATTAACCAACAAATTAATCTATAAATGAAATAACTTAATTCCTCAAGATTTTTAAAATATTTAAGTGATAAAATTGAAAATAAAAAAATTGGAACATTTAACATTACCACTATTTGATGCAATTCCACATGTGTTATCGCTGAGTAAACTATTCGCCTGTGTTTCACTATTAGCCACATTGACGCCACATAGAACTTCAAGATCTCGACTAATCGCATTTAAGTATAACAGGACCTGTAGTATCAAAAAGAAACAAAATGAAACATTGAAATGTAGAGTAAGATGTGCAGCAGTTCATGTGGATGTTTTTCGTGTTTTTCAATGTATTCTGTATGCTGGATAGTTATCATTATTACTATTGTTTCCTTGGGTTCCGCGTGAAACTTAGGCCTTCAACAGTACGTCTTCACTTCGCCCTATTTTCTGCGGTCCTCTTTAGATGTCTGGGACCACGATTGCCCGTAATCTCTCATCTCTCCACGTCACCCTCGCATCGATAACCCACTCGTTGCTTGTCATTCGGGTCCCATTCATAGGCTTGGTTTGCGATTTCATTCGATGGTCTCCGTAGTGTGTGCCCAATCCACCTCCATTTTCTTCTGCAAATTCGTTGAACGACAGGTTCTTGGTTAGTTTCTTCCCATAGATCCTTGTCACTAACTCTTTCTCGCTGGCCATTTAATCATCATTATCGAGCGAAGGCAGCTGTTGATAAAATTCCTTTCAGTGACACGCAGTGCAAGTTTCTGACCCATTTAGAAGAACTGACTTCACATTTGTATCGAAAACACGAATTTCGTCCTCCATCCTGACTGAGTGCAGAAGATTTCCGATCTGGTTTCAGGTTGAAGAATGTGAACGTTGCCTTTCCAACTGTGTCTCGACATCTTCATCCTTTCCATCTGTGGTTGAAATGATGCAAACCTCGCCTAGTTTACTGGCCCATCAGTTTTCTAGCCGGTCCCACGTCCGAGTAAAGAGGCAGGGTTGGGAGTGGGGCTAGTGACCCTACCACGGAAAATCAATCAAACTGCTAAAAAAACTTCAACACACAAAAAAATTATTAAAAATACAAAAGATATTAAAAAAACAACCTTATTCTCCGTTGGGATTAGAAAGGCGAAATGATATAGCTGGCTGGTGAAAGAAAGCCTTCAGGAAACCAGTCAACCAACCGATGTGTCTTCTCTTGATGAAAGCAAGAATAAGAGTGGGGATGTGGAATGGTCGTACAGTGTACCAGTCCAGGAAGGCTGGCCAGGTAGCCAAAGAAATAAAGAAATATGGTGTAGAAGTGCTTGGAATCTGCGAGAGAGTAGATGGAATAGATGTGCACTAGCCAAATTGTCAACTGGAGAATCAGTAAACTGCTCCGGTCACCCATGCTAGATAGTGGCTTAATTGTAATAATAATAATTATTATTATTATTCCAAAGAACGATAATAATAAGTTAATTGGCGGATTGTGACTAGCAGTGGAATCCACCAGGATGTGCATTTCGTCCTATTTGGGACTCGTCAGCCAACTGGATGTACCTGCATTCCGCGGTGAGTGATGATGTTCCCACCGAGGCTCAAACCCAGTGCTTATTCCACTGCTAGTCACCACCCACCAGTTAACTTCTTAATGCATGCCCAGACATCGTCGAAGCATATGCACAAGAAGCCGACATGTCAACCTCAGACCGAGCACTTCGGTCCAATCAATCGACGGGAAAATCTAAAATTGAATTAAACGATAATAATTACACAGAATGGAATTTCCAGTGTTTGTACATATCGCAACAATTTATATGTAGCCGTAGAAACTTAAATTCTTATGAAACTGATCTTGATTTTACCCGAAAAGATACAATGAGAAACTTGCGAATATAAAGAGGATGTTCGGTATGCAAAATGATCGCTCACAAGGATTAAAATGTCTATCAACAACGATGTAAGTTAGTCGGGTAAAAGACACACCACTAAACCTGCTAACAAGCTTCAAAGTTCTTCCATTATAGATACAATTTGTTATTTTCATAAAATCACACACAGTGTGTTTTTATATACAGTAAGTAATATTTACTGATGCCACCACGTTTCGAGCACAATTTATCATTGCCACTCATAATCATATCAAAGCACTCACTGACAAAACTTTCTTGCTTCATTTATACACATGAGTAAAAATTGAGACAGAGTCAAAATTCTAAAAAGTAATATAGGTAGGTAGAGATAGAGAGATATTGATTACTGAATCATGCCTGGTTCATCGAGTCTACACACCCAACACAACACAACACATGCAACAGGAATGACTCAATGCAAATACCAGAGATATGGAAGATATTATTACCACCAGTCAAATCAGAGGAGGATAATAAATAATGTAAAAATGTATTCAATTCCCATTATAACATTCTAACAAGTTATTTATTTATTTATTTTACTATGAAAACATCTTATTTCCCATCTGATTGTATTTGATTGATAACACTAATATTATTATTTCCGAATGTGCTTTATCTTATACTGATTTTATTCACTCAAATGTCTAATCGCATCAATGTTTACTCATGTATATAAATGAAGCAAGAAAGTTGTGTGAGTGAGTGTCTTGATATGATTATGAGTGGCAACGATAATTTGTGCTCCAGACGTGGTGGCATCAGTAAATATTACTCACTGTATAACAACACACTGTGTGATTTTATCGAAATACAATCTTATCCATAATGGAGTTATACTCTAAAACAGCGCCCAAGTTTTATACTTACCAGTAAATTTGACTGATTAGTTTCATGGAGAACGTCTTCATATCATCCTAGACAACTTCATCAATATAATGTCAGAAGCTAAGCAACCCAACCGTTATCTATAACTCCATCTAGTAAGTCAGAATAATTTAGTTACCAACCAACTGTTTCACTGGCTTGGGTTCAGGCTTCTTAAAACAGTTAGTCCCTTTTATAAATTTTGATAGCATTATTAGAAGACGGAGATTATCTGAAAAATGTGATGTATTAGCGCTATACATTTCGAACAATCTGATCACACATTTACTTGTCAAGTCAATATATATGGAAAAATTAAATTAAACAAGGTGACAAAAAAAAGAATTAAGAATAATTAACACAAACGTTTGGTAATCCAATCAAATAAGGATCACCAAGGTAGGTTAAGAGTTTCTTTCTTTTTCTTGACTTCAGTACATCCTGATAAGTCCAGCACATAGAGTTTGAATTACTAAATAGAACATTTGTATCTCAGAGTGCAAGCCGTGATCATTGTCGACTGGTTTTCAACAGAATTAACGAAATTATGGTTTGACAAGAAATTTTCAACATAGATAGCTTGCATCACTTAGATCTACATATTCAGTACATAGAGACGTTGACAGTTGCATTTTTATATATACTACAGACCTTCTAGTGGTTGGTAGGAAAGAGTCAAAAGTCCAATCACGTTCACATTAAATTTGGGGGCATTTATTTGCAAATATTATTCAGCTGGGTTGATGTTTGAAAAGGAGAGAAAGAAGTGGTGAGTCACACAAACTGTACAAAATCCAACCACTTCTTGGGTGGAGGCTAAAGACTCTCCAAACTAAAAAGAAACTGATTCTTTGACTGTTGCTAGTTTCGTGACGAAATCCAATTCCCTACAAAACTCCTAATGTGAATATCAATCTCCAGGTCATTATTGGCTCCCGGATGGATATATTGAAGTGGTGGCCAGTGGGGTCCACCATTTCAGGACACCCATCAGTGGCACGGGTTAGTGGCAGTACTATGTTGAGAAATGAGAGAATCTAAAATTCACGGGTTATTGAATTCTGACCAATAAGGTTGAAATGTTCAATAAACATGCCTCATAAATTGAAGGTACTAGGCTAGGTCGCTGGTTTAGTCATGGATGCACACAGTTGAAGATCCCTCAAATATGACGAAACAGCAGTCCGATGTCCTCTGATTCGTTAAGAAACTTTCTTTTGTTTCGTTACAAATCATAAACAAACTTAGTTATTGGGTAATTTGATTTCCCACTGACGTAGACAGATTTGATTTTAACCCAGAATCTGACTTAGAAAGAAACATGTCAAGTCAGGGAATCTGGTAAAGCCCACTTCACAAAGTGATTCAGTTTTTCTAATACCCTACAATAATTCTCAAATTAAATAACTAAGTCAAAGTAGTTGGCCAGAATGAGCTAGATTTGAAAAGCACGAAAACTTGGCGAAATATAAACTAGAAGATCCATATAACATGAGAATTCCAGGAAGTAGTCCAGCTGTAGTACTACATACAATTACAAGACAACTGAATAACAACAGGATGGTATAAGATGATAGTTTTAAAATCTAATATGACAGAGTGGAAGAAGAGATTGATATCTGAAGCTTTATTTATTGAAACAACTGGAAATACCTGCAACAGGAACGAATCAATACTTGTTCCAAACATCTGGAAAATTCTACTACCTCTACGACGAATCCGAAAGAATAAAGAGAACCATAAAAGAAGAGTTCCACAGCTGTGTCATTACCCATGAACTGACATCGGTTAGAGAACTATTGGAAAACCAGATGGGAGTACTGGACAGATATTTCGTTCCTGTTTGGGACTCTTCAACTGTACTGACCCACCCTACTGAGATTCTAACCCAGGACCTTCCAGTTACAAGGCAAGTACTCATAGACCATTAAGCCACCGGCCGACCGACGAATTCCGCAACTGGTACTAGCCATTGTCATCACTGGCGAGTATTTTTCCACACACCCGACCTACTGTGCGCCACTGATTTTAACTTAAAATAGTCATATTTACCATTTCAAGTTAATGAATGGTTTAATCATCTCAATGAGAAAGCCGCCATGAGATATCCATCACAAGATCATTACAGGAACTAACGTTATCCATCGTGTTGAAGCGTTGGTTATTCAAGCGAATAAGGTCAAAATCTAATCAAAATTCGACCAAAACGAAGCTCAACATATTTTAAAAGTCAAACGAAAACGCAGGAAACCATTAACCGACCGAAAGTAATACATTTAAAACTCTAAAGAACACCAAAATTATTGATAAGGCCGTACAAACTCAACTTTATGCTTCATTTGGACTTGTATTTAAAGAAAATATCAAAATAGATAAGAAAAACGCCAAACTTGATGTGTAGGAAAGGTGTTGCAGTAAATTATGTGAGTCATATTACCTGCGCTTGCTCATTTCCTTTCCACTACTTTACAATATCTCAGAGAACAGATAAGGAGAGTTTAAAAGTTTAAAAGGACGAAATATATCTATGTGGAGTACTGCTTCGCTCACTGAGTTACCAACTCCGAGAATAAATAATGTCTGTGTCTTCAGATGACTCGTTCAAAAGGAGAATTTTTTCATTATTTTACCTTCCGTGAGATTCAAGCTTTAGGCTTTGAAGTCTTAGTAACATTTGTGATGTGTCCAGCCATCCCTCCCTCTTAACCGGGATTTCTTACCGTCTAGGTGAGGTTTAGCAGTGAATCGGTCGTGAACAGAACCAGGACTACATGCGTATATGGCAATCATTCTACTTTTTAACCACCGACAAGTACAAATGCTTAACAGAAAAGAATTCACACACGCTTCATGTCTTCTTTCTTCAATCAAAATAAACCAAAATATGATCTGAAATCTGAATTATTATTATGATTCTCCAAACCATACCCTACTTAGCTCGTGTTCTGTGTGATAAAAAAAGCATTAGGCGTGACACCTATAATTCATTAAATAGTCAGTAGTACAACTGGATCTCGTCTTTCCAACTCACATCATTTATAGGTACAACATTTTCTTTCTTTCTTTTCCTTTTCTCTTTCTCTCTTTTTTCACGTTATGTGCTGCTTTGTTTCTTTCTTCCGCTTACGCCAGTAAATATGACAGCTCCTACTTTTCTAACACCGTCAAACACTGTTCAGCTTTACCTTTGCTACCGACATGCTAATGTGTTGTTGTAATAATGAACTGAGATTTCCTTAATCTATGTAAAATTCTATTTATTGATAATGTACTAACTGGATGCAATACTGCAGTAAAAATGCTGTGAATTCCATTCTGTATCACATGTACAGTTTTGGAATAAAGCAAATTATTATTATTTATATAACACAAAATAATTGAGCAAAGAATATCCTTTTCGATAAATTCCTCTTCTGGCTCTACAATTATATATATATGCTTATATACATAGAACATTCTAGAATAGTAGTCAATAACAATATTAGTGTTTTTTAAATAACATCGATTTGTTAAGTAAGATCACAGTGGAATTACCACAGTTCGTTAAAGATGCTTAAATTATAATCATAATAAAGATATAGTAGCGAATAGAATATCAACTAAAATTAGGAAAATTCCACAAAAATTGAGGATAATTCAAACCTAGATGGCCAAGCGGTTAAGAATAATGTCTGAACTAACTTCTTTTGGATGCACAAATTAGGCTTGTTAATATGGATCCCCACAGCCTCAGTAATATTTAGTAGTCGAACTCTTGAGGCGAAATTGAGATTCGTAGGTATGCGGTAAATGACCCTGAAAGCATGGTTAACGTTAATCTTGTGTTCCGTATCCACAAGATGAGAAAGAATAGCCCTGCGAATAGATTTTGTTTGTCCTTTGCTTAACCACGTAGGGTAATGTTCGGAAATGAATATGTATATAAACATGCATATATAATTGTAGAGCCAGAAAAGGAATTTATCTAAAAGGCTATTCTTTGCTCAATTATTTTGTGTTTTATAGATGTCTGAATGAATTTTTATTTAAGCAATGTCGATATGTGTATGTCGGTGGCTGAATGGTGAAATGCTCGCTAACCGCACCTCACATGGTCTTGGTTCAATGCCTAACAGACACACTCTTAAAACTCCCCTAGCCCACAAAGAGGGAAGGTTCGATATAAGGTTAATAATCCAACCCCTTTAAAGCAAACACTATCGCCACTGAAACCTCCAAGATTGTGGCTGCACGTTCCACTTGAAAGTCGGAAGAAATGAGAAAAGAATACATCCGCATTAGTACGGCTTTTTAACTGTATTGTGAAGAACCTGTAAAATAAAAAAGATTTTCATCGAAAAGTTTTTTTAAAAATGAAAAATATTTTTTCTTTTTAATTTAAAAAACTAACCTGAAATTGGAAACTATATAAATTTACACCGTTAGGTTCTAATGCCATTTGTACATCTATTAATAAAATATTTGAACTGGCTCCTAGAAATTGATTTAGTTACATGCAATCGATTTTTGCTTTTCACAAACCTTCAGATGTTCCTGTCATATATTGTTTACCACTATTTGATTGTGCTCTGCAAGAGATGGTAACTGAATTGGAACTGGAAAACGATGTTATTGAAACAGAAATCTAAACATTTTTCATTAAGTTTGAATCAATTTAACTTTTAAAACGTACAACTCCTGTCGATGTTCCAGGCAAAACAGAAACAGAAGCGATGGAAACAGATACATCTGTGAAGGAAAAGAAACAAATAAGGAGAAATAGGTATTCAAGTATTGGCTTGTAGGGAATTGACTGATTGGTTACAGGATTTCATAATGAGCTGACATAGGTTGGCGAACCATTGGAAAACCCGCTAGGAGTACTGCCAGAAAGCTGTTTCGTCCCACTAGTTTGGGACTCTTCATCAGTACGCAGGAGTGGGTATTTAATGTATACAGAAGATGTAATATTAAACAATTAAAGGAAAAATTTTTAAAAAATTCGCTAGTACAGCTGTGGTTTGTAGGTCCAGGCAGTCAACTTCCAACTGCTAGATCACGAGTTCAAATCGCGTTTCATGCAACGAGATTTAGGCAGCCAGTTAGTAATTTTAGGATAGAAGACGAAGGTTTGGTAAGGGAATGTTTATTTGGAAATTGGTATCTTCATATAGCCAAATTATGTACACCTTATCTTCGACTCACAGTTTGCACAGATCTTCGTGTTGTGGTACTCCTGGCTTTCATTCATATAGTGTTTGTTTCTTTGTGTTCCTTTTACGTCGTCTCCCAGATATCTCCACAACACTGTACCGTTTGTCTTCTCTAACATCAGATGTATCTTCTTAATATTTGATGTTTTTATGCCAGCCAATGAAAGTCTCTTTATATACTACCGGTATACCTTATCAGTAGCACTCACCAGAGTAACACCATAGATGTGGCCCATTCTCAGGTGTAAGGAATTGCAAAACGACTGCTGAGTAACTTAAACTAGTAAAACGCAATACATTATCGTGTGAATTAAGTCATTATCTGGATTTTTTATTCCTTCACGTTCCCAGTGGAACACACAGGGCTTCAAGCTAGAGGCTTGAAGTTTCTGTAACAGTGGTGTTAATTTTTACGGGATGGGGTTGCTAGCCTTATGCCCAACCTTTCCTCTTTATCAGCTTTATTACTGGCTTGGCGAGGTAAAGGAGTGCGTCCGTGGCCGGGGACCGAATCCCGGATCATGTGCATGGTTGGCGAGCGTCCTAACCGTTTTACAACCGACACATTATCTGTGCTGCCATTTGATTATCTGTTACACCCACCCTTCTTATTCTAAAAAATTAAGATCTTTTTAGCTTTATTGATAAAATACTCCGTTATCTATTATTCTGTGTATAGTATTACTTCATATTGTACATCATAAATAAATTAATAGTGTAGATATTGATCTTTAAAAATATAATGCATAAAGAAAGTGAATGAATCCCTGAGTGGTCACATACTACATCTGACTGTCAAAAATATGATGGTGAATATTCACTAAGAATAATATTTTAGTTACAAGTTTTAACACTTATTTAACTGGCTAACTGACTGACTGGTTTTGGCATAGGACTTTGCACAGATGTGCAGTAGTTCCAGTTGCCACACTCCATCCAGGTAGCACACAAAGCAAGAGAAGAGAGTAAAGGGAAAGTCAAATGACATACATACAGAAGTTTGAGTGAGGGAAAAAGAATAGTAATATGGAGTGTTAACAAAGTTTTATTGTATTTAAGAAATCCCAAAGAGTGGATGCATATGAGCCACTCACTGACAACGATTTTCAGCCAATTTTCTCCAGCGTCATTGGTTCTTAGCATCCTGAGGACTTAAACCAGTCTGCTGCTGCTGCTGGATTCAACATAGAACTTGGCACCGAAGTGCAGCAGTTCGAGTTGCCACGTTCCAAATACCACACAAAGGTAGACAGGAAAATGAGAGAAGAGAATCAATAGAATTTAGATAATTATAAGAGTGAAACAGAATGAGTAATGGTAGAAAGGAATATGAAGGTTAAAGAGACTGAATACATCTGCGCCATTGACAACGATTTTGAGCCATGTCACCTATTGTCTCCAGCCATTGATTCTTAGAGTCCCGATGGCTGGTCCCAACCCGGAAGTCTGCATCTCCTTACCTGACTCAGTTTAACTGTCAAGGATTTCATGGATTGATGAGGCCATGTTTTTTTTACCCCCACTTACTCTTTTCCAACCTGCACCTATATCAGCTAGTAATGCCCGTCAGTCGGGGGAGGCGATGGTTAGGCATGCGCAGCACGTGACCTAACCATCTCAATCTATGTAACTTTATAGCCTCTTCGAGTGATTTTCCCTCTCTGCCCAATACTCTACGCCTAACGTCAACATTACTTACCTTATTATACCACCTAACGCGTCGGTGGCACAGTGGTTAGGACTCTCGCCGACCATGCACATGGTCCGGGGTTCGATCCCCCGCCGGCGCACACCCGATATCTATGGTCGGCCTGTAAATTTGGGCTACCGATATCCACGCTGAAAATTCCATACTTGTACTGAAAATACGGTGTGGAATCAAGCTGTAATCAAAATTAAAAAAAATAAAAGAGAAAGAGATCGTAAACATCTGTGGTCAAAAACAGACAATCTCTTCATGTCTTCCGCTCTCAATGGCCCACGTCTCACCGCCATAGAGAAGGACGGATCGAACTGATGAGCAGTATACACGTCCCTTGGTTGATAGCCGGATGTCACGCCTACGCCACAGACGGTGTAACTTAGCGAAAGCAGCCCGAGCTTTCTGGATCCGTGCTGTGATTTTGTCACCAATCAATCCGTTGGTGCTGATACAACTTCCCAAATAGGTGAATTGGTCAACATGTTCTATCACTTCACTCCCTATCACTAAGCTAGGAGTTGACGTAGTCCAGTCCTGTAACAGCATCTTACATTTCACAGGGGCGAATCGCATGTCAAACATACGAAGATTGCTGCTCAAGGTGTTCAGAAGACTCTGCATTTTGTCAGCGTCCTCCCCTAACAGGACTATGTCGTCTGTGTATTCTAAGTCCATAAGACTATTCCCTGGTAACAAGTCGATTCCTAAGTCATTAAGTTCAGTTAAGGATACTTCCATTAGCATATCTATGATGAAGTTAAACAGAAAAGGGGAAAGTGGACATCCTTGACGGTCACTACTGGTTGTTATCAATTCAGATGACAATTCCCCATAAGCCCTTACACAGCTACGTGAGTTTGAGTAGAGTGCCTTGATTAGTGCAATATACTTTCTTGGCGCTCCCTTCATAGTCAAACAATGCCATAGTACCTCTCGATCCACGGAGTCGAAGTCCGCCTTCAAGTCAAGAAATATGGCAATTGTTGGACGCCTAAAAGTGTGTCTATGTTCTAGGATCTGTCGGAGAGTGAAGATATGATCTATGCACCCTCTACCTGGCCTAAAGCCCGCTTGATTTTACCTCGTTTATTCCTCCCGAGTTCGGCTTAGTCTATGCATGATTACTGAGCCTAGGATTTTAGAGACTATGTTCGTCAGGCTGATTCCTCTATGATTATCACATGAGGACTTGTCTCCCTTCTTGAATACTGGTATGATAAGTGACTTACCCCAATCTGATGGAACCGTCTCTGATTCCCAGACGTTACCTAGTACCTTAGTTAAACTATATACTAGTGTGTCACCCCCATATTTAAACACCTCCAGAATAATTCCGTCGGGTCCTGCCGCTTTGCCTCGTTTCAAATTACAGATAGCTTTGGTGACCTCACTTACAGACGGCGGGCCAGTGTTTATATCCCATTCGGGTGTGTGCTGGATGGCGGGGAGGCTCAGTGTGGCTGCAGGCAAGTTAAATTGTTCTTCGAAGTGTTCTTTCCAGCGTTCGAGGCGTCTATCCTGAAAGCTAATTAAGGAGCCATTTTTCTCCCAAATAGTCTCACTTATGATTTACCTTCTCCCACCCGTTTCCCTGATGAGTCTAAAGAGTTGCCTAGTGTTGCCTACCGCCGATGCTTTTTCCATCTCTTTCGCCTTTGTCAACCACCACTGTTCACGGTCCTTGCGGAGACTTTTCGTAAGTTTCCTTTTGTGCAGCTTTCGCTCCTCATTGAATTCGGAGCTCGCCGGAATAAGTCTTCTAGCATCTATCAGTTCGGATGAGGCAGTCGAAATCCAATGGTTTTTACTCACCTTTGGATTTACCTTATTCACAGCTTTTACAGCTGTATCTATGGCTGATTGAATATTCTTCCAGGCTTCTTCAGGGTGAGCGCAGCTGTCGAACTCAGATATGTGTTTAGCTAGTTCTTCCTCAAATAGGGACTTAGTTTCCTGATCGAGCTGGGGACGTGATGGGTTTACCGCTAGCTGTTTCCTACGTCCGTTCAGTCGTAAGCACACACGAGCGCGGACCAGTGCGTGATCGGTATCTACACACGTGTTCCAGAAGGAGCGACAATCCCTTACCGACCCACGCCAACGATAGCTTATTGCTATGTGGTCTATTTGTGTCCAGCGTTGGTTTGGTGATGGAGGTCGCCAGGACAAACGGTGCCTCTCCTTGTGTTTGAAGTTAGTACTTAAACCAGTCGGGAAGTCTATACCTCCCTGCCTGGCTGGCTCAAACTAACTGTTGTGGATATCATTGACTTATGAAGCCATGTTTTGGTTTGATCACCCCTAGCACTTTTCCCACCTGATCCTATGTCGGCGTAAAACATTTTCCGTCAAGTGAGGTGATGGCTAGGCATGATCAACACTTTAAGATATTTTGTATAATAGTTATATGCTTAAAATAGTAATATAGTGACAAGTCAGTGCATTTATTTAAAATACATCACCTATTGAAGCATTATATTTCAGATTTCATAGTCCCTTTACGATGTTTGGATTTGACCACTTTATAGTTATACATTATTAAAATTATGCAGCACATCTGCAAATCAGGATATACAGCTTATGAATGTTATGTCATTTACAACTAGACTTATGGGATCCCATTTATTCGGTGGATGCAATGCACTAAAATTAGAATGACTTAATAACCCCAAGGAGAAAAAGTTGATTTTGTTGTCGTCAAGTCTAAGAATACCCTGAAGCAACAATATACTACTTAAGTAGTCATAGCGCAGAAAGTCAGAGGAAGGAAGAAAGTGGTATTAAAAAACAGTTTCGAAAGAAACAAAATCAATACAAGAAGCTGGAGAAATTAAGTTTAAAAGCTAAGAGTGTTTTATTTTTTGCGGAAGGATAAGCATGATTTCTTAAAATACAGATAAATAATTCTTTCAGGGAGAGATTCCTTCCTTACGGTTTCCTCATCAGATCATATCAGCAACTAACTACTTTCCTAAGCTGGTGATTATTTTTTTTCTTACGAAGAATTAGAAATAAAACCTAAAACACTAGTCGCTTAACACAGAGAAAATATAATAGCATGACCTTCATCACCTTCACATCCGAAGCAATAATTGATTGTATAAATCTGATACATTAATTTCAGTAATAAGCTAATGTACACAGTGATAAAAAATTCCTTCTTAAAAAGTATTTGTGAATTAGGGCTGACAGTTTAGGACGTGTTAATGAGCTATTTCAATACAGTATAATAAAAGCGTACAAATTCAGATTCGTTGCTTAGCAATGTCTAGTAACGTGTTTTAGTTATTTCAAGCATGACACAAACGTATCATGGTGATCATGATAAACAAAACTTTACAATATTTCATTCCAGAAGTTTGCATATACCTCGGAAAATTACACGCCAACTTTGTTTTCATTGTCCTCTGCAGTTAGGGTATACTTGTAAGCAGAGAATCCAGACTCCTATCAACCTTTTTGAAAAATAGACACCCTTTCAAAAACAACTAATTAAGTGGGTTTTGATGCTTTTTGAAGAAAATTAAATAACCCCAATTCGAAATTTTGTTAGCCACAGTGTCAGCCTTTTCTCTGACCTCATATTCCAATAAACGGAAGCAGGGACAGTTAAAAACCTATAACGTGTATACTTCGGTATCATTCATTTTCACCCAAGATAAAGTGTTCGCTTCTACAGTTTTATACGTCAAGTGATAAATCGATGAAAAATCAGATAGTTACATATCACTTCTCGTTTTACTTCTATTTAAGTACTTTGAACTGAACAGATATCATCTTAGCTGCTTTTCGGTGAGCGACAACTGTTGACTACCTGTCATTACGTCACTGAGTCATGTATTCGTATCTTTTAAAAGTGAATTCCAGGCACACATTTATAAAACGACTGAAAATTGCAAAGCTTCACAGTTAAGTTTCTGTATTATTTACGATATAGAAAATTCTTCGCCCAAATAGTTAGGTCAGATTTCTTTATTCCACAAACTATAAGTAGCTATGTGTTTTGCAGAAGTTATTCCTTAAAATTTTGACATGCATAAGCATTTGCAATACGAATCATACAAAATTCACGACTAAACTTTAAAAAGACCTACATTTTCAGCAATTGAACTATGAGAGAAGTCTTACCTGAATCTCCCTTCTTCTGACATGTCACAACAACAGGGGATTCCGTCACATTGTCACTGTGCATAAATTATATGACTGCAGATTATTTACCTCAAAAGGATACCCAACTGTTGGGTGAAAGGCGTAGACTTTTTCAACAAACGAACAACACCAGGTCGGACAGAAACTACCGGTGCTTCTTTACATTGAATAAAACTGTAATGATTGAGTTAAAGTAGTGCATATGTCAACAACCTTTTGCTTAAAAACAGTATGCTGGAGTTAGTCTTGTCATTACAAACAAATGGAACTGCACGTCCAAACTGGGAACACTGAAAAATAATGCTGCCGTTCGGATTAGAATTTGACAGTTGTATTTCAGTAAATACGCCGTTCGTTTCTGCAGTGGACGGTATTTTTGATAAAGCACATTTAACTGTGTACTTTGAAAAATGATAAGCGTGTCACAAAATATGTGTGAATTCGTTATACCTGGTAAACACCTGGGAAGTTAGGTGATAAAGAGATAGAAACTGTTCCTTGATTTCTGTTCGCAGAATAGGTTGATACACTCTCCACTGAAGAAAAAAATAAAATAGTGTCTGTTTTGATAAGTCCTCCAGAAACAACTTACAGCATAAGGCTAGAAGAATTTCAAACAGCAACACAAAACGGCACATTTTAGATCCACGTTTTTGCTGTAAAATCATCAATTAAGCAGTTGCCGTCTAAACCTGTATTTAACTCATTTTAAAAATGCAGAAGCTTTTGTACTAGGAATGCAAAACACTCTGATTAATTATAACAAAAGTTCCGATGGTACATTTTTAAGAGACTGATATCAGATAAATAGCAAGTTAGGCACGTTTTATGCTATTCGGCCACATGCTAAACATCATGATTTTCATAACTAGAATATTAAAAAAGTTTTCAAGAGACAATCATGAAAAATGAATTGATTCAGATAGTATCAGATAGTGGTTTCTGCTCTGACTAACCAGACAATACGAAAATGTTGAGTGCACCCAAACAACTTACTCTTCTCCGTATTCATCAACATCTTACTGGAAATCGGCACATCGTAACTTAGGTAAATGGGCACTCTAGTTGTATTGTGATCACTCGCTATATCTGAAAAATGCCATTTCTCCCCCGATCAAAAATAACTTGAAAGTGTCTAATTCAGCTGAATTCATGCATAGTCCTAAACTGGCTCAAGTTCGAAGTTATCAGGACAACAGATGGTCCACAAACTCCTAGCACGTTGATTAGAATGAATTCAAAACTCTACTGAAGTACATTCACTTTTCAAGATACGAGAATTATCTCAGGAAACAAACATATGCATCATATGAGTTACCAGCGTAAAAAAGGACCTTCCCATATTTTTACATTATTTTACTCTCCTTATAATGCCCTGAAACAATGCATGCGATATTATGACCGAGCAGGAAAATTTTTTCCATCAGCTTTGACGCCAGATTGGTTGGCTTATTTAGTCGATAGCATTCGCTAACCCAAATCCTTCCCCTGTTTAAAAATATTGGGATAATTTCTATTAAATAGTGATTGTGTAATTTAAGTAGAAACTTTTTCATATCAGTAAAAACAGTGCATAAGTAGATATATGGATAAATACATTACCATTACCGCAGCGTTTTGGTGTTGGACAGAAAGAACAATACTTGTTGCTCAGGAGGTAAACAAATTGTAAGGAGTCAAAGAAATTCGTCAATTCCGTTGAATTTTAGCCATCTTACCTTCAATGAGTGATTCCTGTATCTGTGCTTATTCACTTGTGTTGCAGACAGTTGTGTATTCGGGGAACAAGAGAGGGGTAGCAGAGTTGCGAGGTGAGTGTGCTTTTCCCACATGCTGCAGTTAATCAATATATACTTGAACACTAGTAAGTATTATATCTTCATTTCACTGGTTGGAGTGATGCTCAGAAAACCTGCACAGCACTTTAGGCTGAAAAGACTAAAGGTTATCAGATAGCTAAGCCACAACCACCTGGAATGTTTCGTCTAGTTGAAACCAGCTGGAAACAATCTTTAGGTCGTGTGAGTAGATTAAGTAGCAGTCATCCAAGAAACTCATGTTCAATGGCAAAAATACCCATCGCTAAGCTAGTAACTCTAACGATCGAGTGATTATATGGCTAAACTACAAATCAGCCAACGGAATGGCTTATTAATCAGACCGTTTCAGCTTACATACAATCCTGACCGTCCATTCAGTGGATGACTTAATTGTGATAATTAACTTTATGTGACAATCATTGGGATGGAAAAATAAATCAAATGCACACTTCGGAGGAAAGAATTCAAGAGAATTTTCACCTGTATCTCTGAAGAACCTCAGAAACACCATCTTGAACTGTCTTTTAGTGTCGTCTTTCCTTAGTAGTAATTAACTTTATCTCCGCTTATGGAGGAAGATATGTCCCCCAGGAGATAAACGCCTTTCTAACACACACGTTATCGTCAAGCTGAAGTGGCATATTACAAAACTCCAATCCAGAGAAATGCCAAAAATTACTCAAATGCCGGAGCATGAAATTCCTACCTTACTCAGAAATCCTCACTGGGAAACCTTATTGCACAGACAGACTGTCGCATTTTTAATTCGTCGCACTCGAAACCGCTACCAAACAAAATCAGTAGGCTGATATCGCGACTCTGTTCTAAAGCAGAAAGACCGTGAAAGGTTGATATATACAGCTCGCCTGACAATCCAACAACTATTTTGACTAACCGTTCCTCATCAGTTCTTCTAGTCGTCACTCTTACGACTCTATCTCGTGAAGACCTTTCCATGAATATTTTCGATTTCTCACCTAAGTCGTTGGTAAACAAGTCTCGAAAACCTTTAGGCCATAGCACAGAAACCCTTACGTAGCCTCAAGCAATAAAGCGAACCAGTCATTGTACATTTTTCCGATCCAAAGTACAACAAGAACCTCGAAATGCCACTCCCCATAGGACAAAAGTAACGTTCACGGTGGCCGTTATTAAATCGGTCGGTCGGTTTTCGACATAGAACTTTGCACATATGTCCAGCAGTTCAAGCCGTCACACTCCATGTAGCACACAAAGCAAGAGAAGAAAGTAGAACTGCATAATATAGACAGTAAACAGAGGTGTGAGATAAAGGAATAGTAAAAACGAGGAACAAAACGGTTTAATTGGAAATCTTAAGTCACAAGGAGTGGATGCATCTTCACCACTGAGAACGATTTTGAGCCATGTCACCAATTGTTTCCAGCCATTGGTTTTTACCGTCCCGAGGACCCCAACCAGGAAGTCTACACCTTCCTACGTTGCTTAGACTAACTTGTAGATTTCATTGACTGGTGCCATGTTTTGGTTTGACCATCGCTAGCTCTTTTCCAGCCTGACCCTATGTGAGCTAGTATTGCCCGTCGAGGAAGGCGATGACTAGGCATACGTAACACATGTCTTAACCATCTCAGTCGATGTAATTTCACAGTTTCGTCGACTGATTTCCCCGCCTTACCTAGCACTCGACGCCTAACCTCAATATTGCTCACCTTATTATACCACTTCACGCGGGAGATAGAACGCAGGCTAATCTTTTCACGTCTTCCACTCTCAATGGCCACGTCTCACAGCCATAAAGGAGAACGGAGCGGAGTGCAGAGGAGTACACCCGCCCCTTGGTCGATAGTCAACCGGATATCACGTCTACGCCAGAGACGGCGTAAACTGGCATATGCGAACCTAGCCCTCTGTATTCGTGCTGATATTTCGTCTAAGATCAACCCGTTGGGTCTGATGGTACTTCCCAAGTAAGTGAAGCAGTCAACGTGCTCTACCACTTCACTTCCTATTTCTAATCTAGGGGTCGGTGAAGTCCAATCCTGCAGCGTCATCTTACATTTTACAGGGGCGAATCGCATGCCAAACATACGAAGATTGTTGCTCAAGGTGTTTAGAAGACTTTGCATTTTGTCAGCGTCCTCTCCTAGAAGGACTATATCGTCCGCATATTCTAAGTCAACGAGATTATTCCCTGGTAGCAAGTCAATCCCTGGGTCGCTGAAGTCTGTTAGGGTTAAGTCCATTAATACGTCTATGATGAAGCTGAATGGGAATGGGGACAATGGGCATCTTTGACGGACGCCACTAGTCGTCACCACTTCAGATGACAACTCGCCATAGGCCCTCACCTGGCTGCATGAGTACGAGTAGAGTGCCTTTATCAGTGCAATGTATTTTCTCGGCATTCCCTTCACAGCCAAGCATCGCCAGAGGACCTCTCGGTCGACAGAATCCAATGCCGCCTTTAGGTCAAGAAATATAATGATTGTCGGACGCCGATAGGAATGCCTATGTTCTAGAATCTGTCGAAGGGTGAAGATATGATCAATACACCCTCTACATGGCCTAAAACCTGCCTGGTTTTCTCGTGTTTGTGTCTCCCGAGCACCACTTAGTCTACGCAGTATTATTGAGCCTAGGATTTTAGATACTATATTAGTCAAGCTAATCCCTCTGTGATTATCACAAGAAGACTTGTCTCCCTTCTTGTATATCGGGATGATCAGTGACTTACACCAACCTGATGGGACTTCCTCTGATTCCCAGAAGCTGCCTAGAACTTCAGTTAATGCAGACAGTAAACTGTCTCCACCGTACTTAAATACCTCTGGAGTCAGTCCATCAGGTCCCGCTGCTTTGCTTTGCTTCAGATTAGTGACAGCTTTAGTAACCTCAGTTAAGGACGGAGGACCTGCGTCTATATCCCATTCAGGGAGGTGTTGGATGTTCGGCAGGTTAAGTGTGGCTGTGGGCCAATTAAACTGCTCCTCATAGTGTTCTTTCCAGTGCTCCAGACGTCTATCCTGGGAGCTAATTATGGTGCCATTTTTCTCCGAGGTTGTTTCGCTTATCATTTGCCTTTTGCCACCTGTTTCCCTGATAAGCCTGAATAGTTTTCTGGTGTTGCCTATCGCCGATGCCTTTTCCATCTCTTTCGCTTTTGTCGCCCACCACTGTTCACCGTCCTTGAGAAGACTTTTTGTTGGTCTTCGTTTAAGTACCTTTCGCTCCTCATCATAATCGGAGCTCGCTGGAATCAGTCTTCTTGCGTCAATCAGTTCGGATGAGGCGGTAGAGATTCAGTGGCTTTTATTAACTTTAGGTTTCAGCTTATTCACAGCTTTCACGGCTGTGTCCACAGCTAAGTGTATGTTGTGCCAGGCTACCTCAGGGGAAGTCCTGCTGTCGACCTCAGAAACTAGTTTCGCTATTTCTTCCTTAAATAAGGACTCAGTGTCACGATCTAGTTGGAGACGTAACTGTTTCGTTGCCGTCAATTTCTCGTGTCCATTTAGTCGTAAGCATAAACGTGCGCGAACCAGAGCGTGGTCACAGTCTACGCACGTGTTCCAGAAGGAGCGGCAGTCTTCTACTGACCCTCGCCAACGATACCCTATGGCTATGTGGTCTATCTGAGTCCAGCGTTGATTTGGTGATGGAGGTCGCCAGGTTACACAATGTCTTTCTTTGTGCCTAAAGTTAGTGCTGACTAGGAACAGATGATTATCTGAGCAAAACTGGAGAAGACGATCACCGTTGTCGGTTCTTCGGTAGGGAACTCCATATGTACCACCTACATACTTCTCAGTCTGGCACAACTTCCCTACTTGGGCATTGAAGTCGCCTGCTAAAACGACTATGTCTGAACGTTTTGCTTTTTGCATCAAATCAGACAGTTCCCGGTAGAAGCCATCTTTTAATTCAT